AAAAGAAGAAACTTTTAGATTATTTTTTGTCTTCATGCTATATACGTTTTGCATCAATTTCATGCTTACTTTTTATTTAACCGTTCTATGTTCAGAAGACACTAGTCAAATAATGTTAATTACACTTTCGTTATGCGCAAATTTTTCCGTGATACTTTGATCGAATATAGAAACTCCTATTTAAAGATTCTACAAACTCCATCAACTTGGAAATATATATATATATAGAAATAATTCCTTTTTTTTTTCTCTTTTACTAATTTTGTCATTTAAACTTTTATCAAGGGAAACTATTGAACCTTAACGTGTCAATGATTACTTTCACTTCATCTACTATAACCTCGTTAAACTCTGTTATATAAACTAAATACGGCAAAAATTGAAAAAACATATACTTCAATATAATCTACAAGGAAATAAACTAGATATGCATCAGATCTCCTAGTCGAACTCCTACCTCGACAAATTGATATTCAGCCGGAATGGTATCAAGACACGAAAGTACCCAGTTAGACCAAGACTGTTGCATACCTAAAGCGAATGAATTGAACATTTTCTTATATGAAAATCAATTAACCTATTCTCTTATATTTAAGAATATAATCGGATTGAATCTTGTATTCTGTTTTATTAATATTCTAGAACAGAATCGAACATGGATATGTAAGCCACGTTATAGTTATGCCGGTCGAGGAATATATGTTATATCAGTAAATAGTGACTTAAATACAATATTTAAATTTAAATTTGGTTATGGTAATCGTTTTCAACTTCAACCTAGATTACCTGGTTATTTAATGCAAGAGTAGCGTATGAATAAATAATAAAAAATGATCTAGTTTTGTTTTTGATTATAATCGCTATAGATATATATCACGACCATTACTTATAAAAGGGCGAAAATTCGATATACGTGTACATTGGCTTGTCGCATGGACAAAACCATTACTTGTTTTTTATAATCATAATGCATCTGTTGTACGTTTATCCCTTAATCTTTATCGAGAATTTGATTTTGATCGTGCAACACATTTAACAAATTTGGTAAAGATTTATTTTTTTATATTCTATTTTATTTATATTAGATATTGCTTTTTTTTTTATTCTAGTCTGTACAAGAAAATCATTACCGCTATGCGTTTTCACAAGAAGCAACTGGAATGACAATGAATCAATTAAAGTAAAAACTTATTTTTATGAGAAATTAAGCAAAAACTTCGATATTTTTTTAGTCAGTATTTTAACCGTTGTTTTCGACCATTTCATCCAAAAATGTGTCAAGATTGGGTGATGACTGTTATGCAAGTAAGTCAATATTTTAGATAAACTTATTCGATATCCTCTTTCAATTAACTAACAAAAAAAAAGGTCGCGTTCCTGAGATACAAGAAAAGATGTTGCAAAAAAACTCACCTACCTTTTATTTATATAACTTCTTGAATATATTGAATATTATGTCTAAAAAAAAAGAAACAGGCATTTTTTATCTAAAAGAATATTTTAAAAGTTTTCTAAGATCAAGCTGGTAGACATTTGATGTTATTGCATTTTAAAACTCTGAATTAAATCAAAAGGAAAACATAAAAACCATCAAAATAAAGAAAAAAAACATATCAATTATTAAAAGCATTTTAAAATGTATCGTTAAAAAAGGTACTATTTTTAAAAGTTACCACGCGATGCGCTTAAATAAACCAAAAAGAATTACAGTAGGGAACTCATGCATGGGAACTGACAGTCGTCTTATGTGAATGGTGTTTTTCAAAGAAAAAACGAAGGAAAACAATCAGTTAAGAAAAACATGAAACGTAAATGTTCATTGAGACATAATCATTGCCTGCACAAATGAAAAAATGAATAAGAATATTCATTCGCGAAATTCATTAATCGATTTTTAGTTCGTTTACTTGGTCTGATGCATTTAAAAGTAAGATAGAATCAGGAAGAAAAAGAAATATTGAAAATTGTCATTTTACTTTTTAGCTCATCTTTTAATTATAAAAAACACCTTGGTGAAACGACAGAAAATATAGAATAATTAGAACGTGTAGGTCTTCCTTCTCCAGGTTTATGTTTGCTTCACTTGGATTAAAATGCGCAATTTAAGTAGAATAGCGACTTAATGATTCTGCAAGCATTTTTAAAGCTTCAAATAGAACATTATGTTTCTTTTATGAAATAATATACTTAACGAATGTTGATTTTAGAGCTAGAAACAACCATTGATTCTCTCACCTGGTTCTTTCAGATGCTGTCAAACATTTTTTATTTATTGTTATAAGAATAAACTTTTCAATAAATATTATTCGGTCGACTTCATGATCATTATCAAATATTGCAACTGACATCTGTTCATTGTGGAAAACACATTTAACATGTATAGGAGATCATAGACCAAATGTCGTACTGTTGATAACTCTCTATTTTTATTCAAAACAATTTCGTTGTCCTTCGTATTTAAATTTTGCATGGCTTCTGATAATAGCTTTTCAAAATATAATATTTAGAAGCAAATCCTTACATGTCACAGACATCTAAAATAAGAAATCAGTTTATTTCAGTAATATAACATCTCGACAAATGAGATTTTATTTTACGAAAACTTTTAAAAATATTCTAAGAGCTATCAAATAGTGCTCTACACATGTATGACTTTTTGCCACCGGACCTGAGTCGAGACCTTTTTTTAATATCCAGACCGGAACTAATTAACATTCAACAGATATTTTCACAGTCACAGTACGGTTTTCAAACTTTTATTTTATACGAAAAAGTATACTCTTTCGTTTTTTTTCATAAATGACGACAAAGAAAATGAGATCATATCCAATTTCACAAAAAAGCAAGTGATTCACGATTCATTTCTTGTCTTTCGGTTTCTAGAATCTGATCAATTTCGCTAATTAAACATTTGCTTGTTGCTGATGATGTCGTTGAAATGAAACGCTGTGTTAGTTTTAAACGCCATAATTGTGGATGCATACATGAATGCTTTTACTGTCATGAGAATACATGTTCACCTTGTTGATAATTCATTTTCCTCTTCATATATTTAGTTACTTTGTTCCTTTGGTTCATTATTATCTATGAATGAGTTTTTATTAAAAGCGAATTTCTTTAGTAAAATCATATCGCTTTTCACTTCTATGATCTTTTCTTAAGTACAATAAATTGTTCAGGTTTTCACTCCTACGCTTTTACATAGATCAGTCATTTGAGAAAGCAAAAAATATTTTAAAACGTCAAGACCTCAGTTTGAGACTATACTCGGAGCCCGAACGAACTCGACAAATTTGCATTCGGAACCATGTATTCTAAGTCGTGTCAAGTATTCAACTCGGATGTAGGACAATACTATTAAAGTGATATTGAAGATAAAGTTAAAAATCTGAATCGTTTCAGTTAATTTTAGCTTAAAAATAGTGCCCAGTATTCCTCATAATTCTGATGAAATCACAATATTTTCGAAGAATAGAACAATGAATCTTTTTGCTGTAGTTTATATATTGATAAAAATCGAAATCACGTGAAAGAGGAGGAAAACCTTTCTTCCTAAGTATCATCTATAGAATTTACTATCAATGTCTAATAATAATTGTCGATTATTCGTGATATTCAACTTTGTGGAAATTTTATCATCCAGTTCAATTAACTTTGACTTTTCTTTTTTGTCTTTTTAAAAACTATAAAAATTAGTAAAATATTTAATTAACCTATGTTTTAAAATAGGAACGTATGCAAACAATAATTCGCCATGTAGTACGTGCAAGTAAAGATAAATTAGCTCGTGGAGCTGGACAATTTGGTTTTTTTGGTTGTGATTTTTTACTTGACGAAAATTTTCGTATATGGCTTTTAGAAGTAAATGATAATCCCGGTGTTGGGTAAGTTAAATTTATTAAAATAAAAATTCATTCATTTATTTATTTTTATAAAACTATTATTCAAAGATGGGGCAATCCTCAATTGAATACAACAACAAAACCTTTATTCGAAGAAACACTTAATATTGTTTTTGAATGTTTTGAAAAATATAAAAATAATCAATCATTATTACCAATAGAATGTTTAAAAAATTATCAACTTATTTATAATGAAGATGATGATATTGATAGACTTTCACATGATGATAATCAATTATTTACTGATCGTCTATCAATTCGTTATGTCACGAAAGAAAATTTATCACGCACATGTTTTCATCGAATATCACCATATACTCAAACAAGTCGAACATTAACAAATAAAAATGATAATAATATTAATATTAATACTAATATTATCCTTCCATTAAGTAATATAAAAGATTCTAATTCATCCATAGATGATATAATTCCTTTAAATGCATCGAATATTAATGATAGACCTAAAAATTCTTGTGTGATTAGTACAACACCTGTAAGTTTAAACATAATAAATAAAACTGATGATACAATTGAAACAATTGAACCATTAAAACATGATGATGATATTGAATTAGAACGTTTAATGAATTCGAAAACATTAGAAAAAAATAATTTTAAAATAAAACCTTCATTATCAATATCAACACCAATAAATCGATTACCTGTTAAAATAAATAAAACAAATGTTAAACGAAATCTTTTAACAACGAATACATTTACTATACAACGAAAAAAACGTCTTGATTTAACACCAATTATTATAGATAAAAAACGTTATATACATCGACACGGTATTGTACCTATTTCTACTGAAACAACTAAAAAAGAAGATAAAATATCAAAAAGTCAAATTATTTTTCATGAACAAGAACAAGATGAAATATCAAAAAATCATATTATTCTTCAAGAACATGAACAAGACGATATTGAAAAACAAGATAATCAATCAGTTATAATATCAGTGGCAAATATTGTTCCACTACAACTTTGTTCTTCAAATTAATTAAACTATTTCTTCCTTAATGGTTTCTTTCTATTTATAAAAACAACTTATTTTTTGATAATGAACAAACAAACAAAAAATCTGTTCTTTTCTTAATGTATAACTAATGATGTTAATAATAGATCCGTAAGATGACATTCATTTTGAAATGACTGAAAATTATCTAATTTTAATAATCGATATGATTCTGATTTTGATGTTGGAACAATTTTACGCATTATTGTTGGAATTTGTTTCAATATATCTAAATAAGATGTTAATTCCGTTTGAATACGATTGAGAATTTTAACATTTTGTTCTTGATATGATGAATTTATTGTATTAGCCAATGAAAATGTTTGAAAATCAAGTTTAGATAAAATATATTTTGCAATCATCATGGCTTCAGAAGAATTCCTAAACATAAAAGTATTGTCTTTTAAATTGCTTTTCTAATATGTATATAAATACAAAGAATCAGTTCAGCGAAGCACATTAAATGAGAGAAAGAAAGGAAAGTTCTTATGAAAACTTCTCATAAAATATTTCAAAATATAATTATAATTGCTTGAAAGGTTAGCCGTAGAAAGTCTGAAAGAAAAATTGTCGCTATTAGAAAAATCTTGAGAAAAGTGAAATCTTCAGAGTAGTGCGAGTATGAGTATAGGTGAAGATAAGACTAGAATTCACATCCCATATACTTTATGCCAATTATAAAAAATATCTTGTTAGTTGAAGTTTTTTTGATATTTTTTTCTTTCTACAGCATACTGCTTGAAAATTCTTATCATGAAACGTATTTGAATTGAACAAAGGTAAGTTCATGGGACAACATTTTTTTTGCATTGTCCTTGTATCTACTTGACTATCACAATAATTTATTTGAAAATATTCTCAACGCATAAAAAAAGCTCCGATAAATCTAAATCCTAAAAAACTCGAAAATCTTCAGCTATGGGCATTTGTCAGTTTAGATCATTTCGACCTAAACTATGATTTATTTCATCTAGGATAAAGTAATCATTTTTATAAGCATTCATAGGCAAAGATCTACTCGTCGTTAATGTAAATTGTACGTATGGAGATGATAGTCAAAAATCGACTTGTGTTACATAAATCTTTCCCTTATGTAATCTGATTAATAAAATAACACGACTACATCCGAAATAGTTTCGAACAATAGCTCTGCAAAGATTACCTTGTCTTTAATACTATTTTTGTCAATTTATTCAGAAACGTTTCTTAAGTCTGCTTGATAGAGAAAATGTTATTATTAGCTGCCAGAGCCGGTAATAAAGATAAGCCTTTGTACAAAAAATGTGAAAACACTGCTTAAATTTATTAATTTGATGAAAAGAAAAAAGATTATGGGTCTATCTTAGCCTACAGAACGTGTATCTAAGGTAAGTTTTCACTTTCCCAAGGCTTGAGGTTTCACTGCCTATAAAATCTTCTGATTAACTTTGACTAAGCATGATCGTTTTTAATTGAACAGGATAAATTAGAACAACAATATATTTTATTATTGTTATTTCAATTACTTACTCAGCATAGAAATGCACAATTAAGTCATCAACAATAAAATCATCTTCATTAACAAGATGAATAAGTGCATGTTCAAAAATATTTCCTTTGTTATTACGTATATAAACATTTGGTATATGAATAATGGAATTAAATCCAATATTTGATAATAATTGTCTAAAATGTTCAATAAGATGAAGTTTTGTAATTGATTGAATATTTATATCCAAACGAAATAATGTATTCAAATAAATCAATGCTTGTCGATACATTAAACTATTCACTAAAAACAAAAATAGGCAAAATATAATTTATTACCAAAAAAAAACTAATCGAACAAACTTGATTCAGTTTCTAATGCATTCAATTTTAATATTCGTTCATTATTCGGATTCATAAGATCGTCAATTAATATGTTAATAGAACCAACATGAAAAAGTTTATTATCATCATCAATCAATAGATAGAGTTCTATATCAATATCTTTATCTAGTTCAATTATTGTTGTTAAAATAAATGTTCCACATGAACAAGAATTTAAATTAAAGATTGTTTGTTCGTTTAATGATGATTGAAAAGCAGTTTTTAAATTGAATAGCTTTATTTTATTAGAATTTTTGTCAATACCAAATAGATATACTGAAGTTAAACTGATACTAATGCGAAAGAAAAATTGATGCATAATTTTAAGAGAACGAGACGAAAAATATAAAGATTTTACTTAGTAGGATTTTTAATTGTTGCATATAAAAATAAATTTGTTCGATAGACAAACCAATTGGTTTCAATTAATTGAAGAATTGATGTTGAAATGTTCGAATTTTGAATAAGACTTTTTGTTTCTGTCTAATATTTTTATTTAAAAAAACAAATAATTTAAGAGAAATATATGAATTTTGTCTTACATTTATACTAAGATCTGGAACATGATATTTATTACTTAGTTTTCGAATATCACTTTCGACTTGTCTACATTGAAAATAACCTTCATTGACAATAAAATCTGCATCCTACAAAGTAAAATTCTTTTTCATATTAATCAAATAATGCATGATGCAAAAATAATTCCACAAAAATGTTGATCCCTTTATCTTTTCAATACAAGCAATCTGTAAAAAAAAATTTTTTCTTCAGTTGATAGAAAATGTTCTTGTTTGAAAATCATATATAACTAAGTAGTTTTTATTTCAGATTTGTGAGACAAATGATGCAAGAAGTAAGAGGAATAACTATAAAATGATTCTGCACTGTTTTCGCAAAGTGATAGCACAATATGCTGATTAATTGCAGAATCGGGAAAAAATTTGTAGAAGAGACTGACCCTCCCGTTTGAAGCTGAAAAGCAGATATCTTCTTCATCTATAACAAAGAATCATCTCATTTCTAAATAAAGTTCAAAGACTTTTGGAAGAAACTGGACCCCATCCATCCAGGATCCGTCAATTATGCTAATTTTTACATCTCTTTAATAGACATTTTAAAAAACAATAAATTTTATGTTAATTAGTAGAATTTTTCTCTTGTTCTTTCCAGCCATATATAATCTATTTTTGGCATATATACATTAGTAAAATAATATAAGAAAGAAAGATACACTTGCTTAACAATTGGGTGATTTGAATAGAATTTATAAAAAAATGCTTTTGTACGATGGCATTCAAAGTATAATAAAACTTTATCTTTCAAAATCTTTTGACAAGTTTACAAAATTCAAACAAGATCTTTTTACCACAAGTTCATATTGGAATTGAAATTTTATTGTACAAATATTTCTTCCTCGTCTTCTGTCGTTTTTTTTTATTGCTCGATGATTAAAGTAGACGATAGGCCATAAATAGCACAACAATAATAAATTGAAATATTTCTGTGTCGATTCGCTCGAATAGATTAGTTTTTTTTCCGTTATTCTTAGAAACTTACTTAAGTTCTTTTTATACGTGTAACCTTGATAAGTACTACTATTAACTTATGTTTTTTGACTTTACTCTAATAAACTTGACCTATTGTCAAGTAACAAAAAATATATATCAAGGATTCCCTAGATAATTTTCAGTTGTTATCGAAGAGAATAAATAAAAAGAAATCAAACGAACTTTATAAATGATATTATACCGATGTATATAGAGCAGGTTTTCAAAACTAGTTTGTGTAAGTATTGAAATTCGTAGTCCATTGCAGCTCTTTGGGCACCAACTTTCTTATTAAAACCAATGTTTCATGTCTGAACATTCAAAATTTAGTAAACGTTGACTTTTAAACTAACTAGTTCTGAAAATTTGCTCTATGTACATCAATATATTATCATTTATAAAGTTCATTTTGATTTCGTCTTATTTATTTCTTTAGACAACAACCTAAAAATTTTTAATTTTTAATCGTAGCTTTATTTATGGCCAACGCTGTTAAACCATATGTAGTTCGAAAGAAAAGAAAGTTTTAATGTAGTGTATAAAATAGCTTTCTTGTAGAACGTATTTGTCAATAACATAGAAAAATCAACATTCAATGATATAATCAAAGGCGAACAAACTGATTTCCATGCTAGAAATCATTAGAAACCAAGGAAATCAAGTAATCAACTTTTTTTTCCCTTGGATATAACTTTTTTTTTGTATTGTATGTTACTTGTTGTGTTTTTCTTACAATGATTTTCTTTCGAAGAATATCTTGAGCAAGAGCAAAACTAGTTTGAATATCAGCATCATCCATTTCAATTGATAAAAGTTTTTCTTCAGTCTAAAACAAAAAGATAGATAATTAATATAATTAATTTTTTTCTTTGTTCTTTTATTATTTAAAATAATCTTACAGACATTATATTCATAATTTGATTCTTGTTGAAATATATGTATTTGTGAAAAATCAGTTAACATAAATGAATTTAGATTAAAATCATTTTTTAAAAATAATATTTGTTTCCATCCTATATGATTAAAATCATCAATAAGAATATAATTAGCTGTTTCATTTGTATTTATGTATGGAGTTAATAGAAAATTTTCACCATATTGAAATATTTCAACAGATTGAATATCTTTTTTCATAAAAAGAAGTAATTGTTCATTTTCAATTGTATAATAGGTTAGAATGGAAGTAATTATGTTATTCATTGGAAGTTCTTGACATATTGTACCATTGTGACATGTAAAGATTCGATGATCTTTACTTGATATAATAAGATCACCCAAAATTAAACGTGTTTTTAATTGAATTTTATGATTAATAATATGTATGTCTTGAATATTATCAACAAGAGATATAGGAATAAATTTATTAGTATTAAATGAAACAAGTGAACGAGATGAACAAGTTGAGCAACCATAGTAGACCTAAAAGATAAAAGCCAAGTTAACTAAATAACATTTAAATAATTTATTGTATTAGAGAAAGAAGAATGAAATAAATGTTAGAAAAACTATAAATTAAAATTATTATTATCTACATAAAAGAGAGATTTTTAATACGTGGAATAATAACTATGATTAGATTTTCATTAAAATACCAACCATCATTATTTGAATGACTTTCGATCATTTAGAAATATCGAAGTCGGGTTTTCGCCATTACATAGAATAACGTTGGAGACACCTATCTATGCAACATTCATTAGGTTTAAAGAAGTTTTTCATGAATATTTTTAGATGAACATCTTTTTCGTTGCCTATTTCTACAAATGTTCATGGCAACCTAGACCTAAATTAAAGAGGGCTGTATTTTTCATAACATTCACTTATTTCAGTACACTTTTCTTGAAGTATGAATATCGCATAAGAACGAAAATGATTTTCATCTGAAAACATCCATGAGAAATTTCTGCGAATCTAATGAATGTTACACAGATATGTGTCTTCAACATTGCTCTATCTAAGGGCGAAAATTCGACCTCGATAGCTATATATGATCGAAAGTTATTTCAAGAATGGTCGTTGGCATTTTAATAAAAATCTGACAATAGACATGCACCGAAACCCAATAATAGGATTTGAATATCTCAAACTTATCTCAATGATTAAGAACTGCATCAAGAAACCATATTGAAGAATATCTATCTTTGAAAAAACAACTCCGGTCTAATTTCATGAGATTTGGTTTTTTGATTGACTCTAACACGAAGTTTAACAACATTGCCAATATTTCTCTGTGAACATTCTTTAGCATCATTCCCCTATTTCGATTTTCTACTGACGGAAAAATTTTGTGTCATCTGGTTCAGTAGATAAGAACATTTTTCTTCATTCAGACAAAAATGATGTAAACGGCTTCAATGTATGTTTGAGGATAAAACAAAATAACATTAAAAATATGCTTCTTTAGCAAAAGATAAATTTTCCAAATGATAAATTAATCAATTTTAAAGCTTAAATTCTTTTAAATCGATCTTTTTTACGAATGTCATTGACAATAAAACGTATAGATATATACAAAAATTCATTGAATCTTGGATTTCTGATAGATTTTCTTGTCCATGTATAATTATTTCAACATTGAAAACAAATTCTATCTCTTCGATATTTATAATATTACATTTTAAGGATTCAGCTTGAGATTTAACCAAATATAGAATCAAGTAGTAAACAACATGAAAAGATTAGGAAAGGTAAGAACTAGTAAATCATGTCATAGATGAAGCTTTACGAAGTTTCATTGCAGTCAGTATAATAACTTTTCAATTGAAACGAAGCATCATTGAACGAAGCAAGTTATTTATAATAATATGCATTATCTCTTATCTGAAATCGTTGATTAGATCGATTACCTCAACTTTCGCTGTTCAATATAATATATTTTTAGAATCTTTAATATCGAGTTTTTCTGTCATCTAAATTTATACAAACAAATCATTTTTTGTTCGTTTTTTCTTCCAAAACTTGTCTATTAGAAAAGAAACCAAAAAAAAACTTCACTTTAATCAATTTTCGTTGCATATTCAAATCAATTTCAGTACCCATTAACCAATAATAATTATCATGTAAATAACAGTAAATATATGTTGATAATGAACATGGAATAAATTCAATATTTCTTCGAAAATTTTCTTTATTATTATCAATTATATAAAATCCATTTTGATTTTTTTCTTCATCTATAAATATACTCAATAATGAATTTATTGAAAGAAATTTTATTGAATTATGAATTGATGATGGTATTGATAATGTATAAAGTATATGGCATGACCATGGACGTGATTGTAATTGAAGAAACATTAAAATTGAACTATTCAATGAAATAAGATGTAAAAGAACAAGTAGACCTTTATCAATCAAGCATGAACCAACAATAGTAAACTTATTGAATTTCATTGTCATTGATGGTATTAATGATTTTTCAATGACATTTAAAAATCTTTCCATATTGCTATCATATTCGAATATATCAATTTGAATATAACCATTCTCATTTATTTGAAATAGATGTATACAACCAGCATATGCCAACAAATTCATTAGTACTTTTTTCTTTTTTTTTTTCTTTTTCAAATAAAAATCCTAGAATGTGCATATTAATCAAAGAAATTCTATTTACAAAAACCGATAATGATATGTCTTTTGTTCTTTTTAAACTTCATTTTATCTACACACACGTACATACATATCAAAACAAGTGTAAAAAAAACAAAACAAAAATGGAAAATACAACAACAACAACAACAACAATAGTAAAGATAAATTTTTTGCTAAGCCATTGCATTATCATCCTCATCAGTTTCTTCAATACCTGATATATAAAGAATATTATTACATCGAATAAGAACTTCACCTAATGGACCTTTGTTTTGTTCATCAATAAATTCAACAGCATTACCTAATTGCACATTCATATATTGATCAACACTGACGAGAACACCTAAATTTAACATAAAAAAAAGAGTCTAGTTTTATATAATGCGCTTTCATTATTCTGTTCTACCACTATATGTGATTCCCCATTTGAGACGAACAAGAATTTTCTTTCCGACTAATTCATTAATATACGGTCTTGGATTAAGTGGTGTTTTCATTTGTGTTGCTGTCGTTGCCATTTTTGTCTTATAAACACGAAATAATCTGTAAAATATGAAAAAAAAATTCTTTATTGACGGCACGGTGAAAAATTTTCACCAAAATCTTTCTTTTTTATTTAGTCTTCTTTTTAAAAGATGTTACAAAAGACAAATTTGATGTTTCAAATAAAACAAAAACGAAGAAACAATGATTAATTATCATCGTCTATTTATTTATTTTATTCTTCTTCTTCACGCTTTTTAAACATATACGTAACACAACATTTGCCACAATAATTACGATCATGATGTGTTGCCATAAATACACCAGCACCACATTGTTTTGATGGGCATTCACGTCGTAAACGACGAATTTTGCCGGAATCTTCAACCTTAAAAATATTTATGAATTTTCTTTTTTTTTTTTTTATTTCGAAATTGAAAAATTATTTTATATTACTTTATAATATTTAAGTACTGCCAATTTAACTTTCTTTCGTTTATGTTTATTTTTCTTTGGTGTACTATATGATTTTTTCTTTCGTTTTTTACCACCACCTTCAAGATCAAGTAAAACATATAGTGTACTTTCCTCTTCAACATGGCATTCGTCGAGTGTTAATTCATCATCTAATGAAATGCCGCCTAATGTTAAACGTTGTTCATCGGCCGGAATACCTGAAAATCAATTGAATTTAATATTATTCTTTTATCCAACGTAATGATCGAGGAGACGATGTCTCTCGGCAGATCGGATTGGCTCTCGTAAAGTTTTAAGTCGCTCCCGGGAGAGAAAATATTTCATTTACCTTCACGTTGTTCAACAAGTTCTTTAACATCATTGATCGTGTCATCAGATTGAACATTAAGTGTTAATGTTCGATCATCCAGAGTACGTACAAAGATCTGCATGATTCCTTGGTGTCTGCTTTTTTCCTTGGCCTTTCTGAAATAGACTTTATCTGAAAGAACAGTGATTGCAGTGAAAAATAAAAAATATTCTAAGTGATTGTAATTTTTGGACTAAGAATATTTGGAAACCAGATCAAAATTTAATATAAAAAAAAAAAACGAAAAGAAAGGATCCGTTCTAATCTTGTTTGATTGCTTGTCTTGTTCGTTTTAATTCATTTTGTCGATAATTAACATCAAGTTGACAAACAAAATCAATTAAACCATTGGCAAATGAATCCATTATTGAATGAAATATACATACTAACAAAACATAAAATTTTATTTTAATATATGCGAAAATACAATAAGACCAAAATAGTATAAATAGAGACCATAATATAAATGCTAAACGACGTTTAAAACATATATTTGACTCAATATTTTGATTATTGAAATGCTTTGATTGGACATCAAATTGCTTTTTAATGTAAAACCTAATTAAATATATATGATTTTAATAAAATAAGAAGTAAATTTTTCTTTTTACTCTTTTAAACGATTTTCTTTTTCATTCCAACGATTTTGAAGCCATTCACCAATTTCTTCATCTGTCTTAGGTAAATCATTTATATTATAACGTTTAACATGAAAATGAACTGATTTTGGTATATGACCTTTTAATAAATCAATTTCTGCTTCTGGAATAAGTCCTTCATAACCAATAGTAACATCATCAATTGTATCGAGAATTTCATCTGAATAAAAATAAATTAAATAAAACGTATTTAATTTCTTTCCGTTTTTTCTTCTTCTTCTCTAACCTGATCGCATTGTATTTAGTAAAAATGTAAATCCATTTAAACGTGGATGAAGACAATAATCATAAGATTGATTAAAAGTTGTTTGTTTGGCTGCATAATCATTACTTTTTATTTTAGTTTCATCGGTTAAATTTGTTCCTTCAGGAAAAATTAATATCTAAATTCAAATGAAAACATTCGAAAGACATAAAAGAATAATTTCTCTGTTTAAAGTAACAAATCTTTGTTTCCAAAAGATGTTAAAAAAAAACAAACTTGAAGTATATGAATCATTATATTATCGAATAATTCTACAGTTTTATAGAATATAGGCATAGTATAATATTTTTTCAACAGAGAGTCAAGCCCATCGGGTTGGTCCTGAACACAGATGTGACCAAAAATTTTGTGTCTCATAAACTCTATTAGTTACTGAATACAAAAAGCTGAGAAAAAGTATCTTATTGGTTTGCGACGACTATCCGATTCCGATTAGAAAATTTCATTGAGAATATCAAAGAACGACTCAATCGAGTTCCAAAGTTTTGCACTTGGCAGACTCCAACAGATGGGCTTCTAACAAAACAAAAGACATCAATGGAAATGAAAAACAAAGCAGAATACAAAGATTAATTAGTAGATAGTTTTCGCTACTACATAGTCGTACATTCAACTCATCAAAACTTACTACTCTATGAGGACCAAAAGTCTTCTGTTATTCGTCTTTAAAATGAATAATTGTTGTCAGTCGGTACTTTATCATGTATGAAATTGTAAAAATTCTTAGAATTCAATAATATATTGATTCATATCGATCAGTGTTATTTTCAACGAACATGTTATTTTCGATTAAAATTTTATTTCCTTGAGAGAAGTAATTTTTTTCTAATTTTGTACATGTTTTCTTGAACAATATCAATTATAAAAAAAATTGATGTTGCTAGATTAAACATATCATTTACTCTTTCTATTCGATGTATAGAAATAAAGCATAGAACGGTTTATTTCTTTTTTAGAATATCGAATAGAAAATTATTTTTCAATTACATACGGAAAGTGGTGATTGACATGATTTATAATATCCACTAAGATTTTTTATTGTTTGTTGATCTTTTTCCCATATACGATCAATGAATAGAAAACCAGCATGTTGCATAGCCCATCCTAGAATAAAATCAGAATGTTTTGTTTCTTTTTTTTGTTAGCAAATACGAAATAATATCTTACCAGGGCCAGGGATACGTTTAAGGTCAGCTTTAAGAACAATTTTAAGTTGTTTTAAAATTTTAAAACGACTATGTAACATCCAGATAAACATCCAATCAAGTCTTGTACGATGATTTAATATAATTAATGAACGTTTTCCATCATTGGTTAAATCATCACCGGTAATAACAATCTTTATGCCAAGTAAGTCTTCAAGAAGAAACTAAAAATTTTTAATGAATTAACTTTTCCGATAAGAAAAAACGTCGATAAAATACAAAAATAACATACAGTTGCCATTAAAAGATAATAACCCATTGCTGCTGAACACCAACGAAAATAAAGACGTCGATTTAAAAATATAAATGGTACAGCGGGTGTTTGAACAAAAACAAGACCAAAAAATGCACTAATTGCTAATATTAAATAATAGATCGTTACTTTTATTGAATTAATTATAGAAGGCATTTTGTTAATAGGAAAAATCTTTTTATCTATTCACCAAAAAGAAGTCTATATTTGTTTATAAAAATATTCACATTCATAATAATAATCTATAGCTTTCTATTGACCAATCATACACATTTTTACTATTGAATTTTTCCTTCTTCGAGGATATATTTGAATAATTTTTAGAATAATTATCAATTTATTTTCATAGATTTTTATTTTAATCATTAAAAAACAACAGTTTTTAAAAAATTTCAAAGTTATTAATGCATTTAGAAGATTAAAAAGAGGTGTTATTCTTTTATATGATTCGTTTTTAGAATAGACTAATCAAATGATTTTGATTCTAACTAGGTATTGAGACAACCAAATGACACGTGTTATTTCATAAAGCTTCATTTTATTCGAAATTTTAGTAACATGCGTGTTGTTCTTATTGTTCTATTTGCATTAATTTATCGAATCGATTGTCATGGTCAACATGGAACTGCTGGTAGTCAGCATGGACCTGCTGGTAGTCAACCGTCAGGTGGACAACCACATGTTGCACGAAAAATGGAAGATTATGTACATGATGCGGAGTATGATGACTTCTGTTTTGTTTTTGTTAATATATTATAGTTTTGTATTTTCGTTTTTAGACATCTTCGACATGATTTAGAAGGTCAAATAAATACGCCAAAAGAAGAAATGACATCGGAACAACAAAATTTTTATTATTTTAAATTACATGATACAAATGATGATAATCGTTTAGATGGTTTAGAAATTGTAGCTGCTTTTGATCATGCACATCAAGAGGAAAAAAGTAATACTAATGATACAACAGGACAAACTCCTCCGCATCAAGAACGACTTGTTGATGAAGAACTTATACGTATTGTTGATGATATACTAAAAGAAGAAGATCTTGATTATGATGGATATATTAGTTATGAAGAATTTAAACGTGCTATTGAAGGTCATTCTAATGCACAAGGATAATTTAATCAAAAAACCAATAGTTATTTTTTTGATTCATCAAAAAATACATTCCTATTAAAAAAAAAATTATTTCATTCCGCTAGTTAGAAAACAAAAAAAAAATTTTTTTTTATTTTTGCTGTTGATGTCTGAGTGACTCTCATCTATTTCTTTGATCTGTTGTTTTTGTTATGTACCGTTTTGGCTGTTCAAATGTCATAAAAATCAAAAACAGCTTAATTAGACATACAACCAAAATATATTGATGATTATACAATTCACTTGCTATCATACGCAACAAAAAGACAACATGAGAGATATAATTTTAACTTATATGTCTACAATTCAGATTTTTTCTTAGAGAATTATCTTTTTCTGATTATCTACAAATGATTTGTTCCTAGTAATGAGTTGCAAATTTCTTCCTAGTATATGTATGATTTGCTAACAATTTCTCATATTTTGTGCTGGTAAAAAGAAATTTTTATTTAGAATTGTTTTTTTTTCACCTTCAGAAAACTATCTAGATCTCAAAAATCTTTGAAATGTTTTCTGAAAAATTCAATATAATTTTTAAATTGGTGACTAACTATAAAACTTTTTCTTTATTTCATGAACTTATTATTTGATAAATCTTTTAAGAATTTAAAAAATGCAAAAAATATTCTCATGACTTTGTGTACTAAATAACTATCATGACTAGAGATATGCCAGACTAAATTGTTTTGGTCGTGTTCTAGAGAAAAATATTTCAGAAGTTATTTGTATTTCAAACTAAACTAATTTTTCAATACTCTTTTTATTGCTTCATTTATTTAGTCGACGACAAGTACTTTTTTGGGTCATCTCTCTTGAATTATGTTCTGATTAATATGATTTGTACGATAATTTGCTTAAAACCATAGTATATTTTATTATAAATTTGAGTGCTGGTCACGGCAAATTGTTTTCCTTGGTCCTAGTTTCAGTCTCAGTAACTTCTTTTTCTCGTCGTTCTGTTGTCGATAAAGTTTTATTTTTTGGTTCTGGTCACTAGGATTAATCGTGCACATCTCTGCTCACGATATATTTGTATCCTTATCTCAAAAATGTTTTCTTTTTTCAGACCAAAACCAACTTTTTGAAAACATGTATCGTCAAGATATTCGTGTTGATAACAAAGGTTTGTGTTCTCGATAACATTTATCTATTTTATATTCTATCCTTCGTGGATACATAAAATAGAACTACCCATTTGTGCAAGTTATTCATGAGTAAAATCGTATCTATGGCTTCAGTAAAATTGAATATCATTGTATTTCTTGTGGTTTTATTTACTTCATACAGTTTATCATATGTTCCACCATGTATTACAATGAAACGTCTTTCAAATGTACCAATTATATCATCATGGAATAACAATTCTGACTTTTTATATAATTATAATAGTGCATTTATGCCAACAATAAATGATTCCGATGGAGTTGCACTTCTAGTACGTGTGCAAAATTTAAGTAATAATTCAAAAACTATCTATGATGTTGGTCCAAGTAAAATAGCATTGAGTCGAAGTATAGACAGTACTTATCTTAAATATACATATATTACTCAACAAGATATAATCATTGATACTGATCGAGAATATCAATCAATTGGAGTTGAAGATCCTCGTATGGTATTGTTTAATAATACTTACTATCTGTAAGTGAATAATTAATTGTCAATCTAGTTGTATATATTCATAAGAATTTGTATCAAGTGAACTTGCTCAAACTAATAGAATGAGAAGAGCAATAATCATGCAATATGTTTTTATAATGTTGTTTTTTTTTTTTGGAATAGCGAGGTAAACATCTATATAATTTCGAGAAGCTAATTGAGAAAATATGAATAAAGAATTGAAAATTTCTTATGGGAAATTTTCTTTTCACTTATTATACTAAATAAGGTTTGCTTTTAGCTTTGTTAATATTATATTGTTCAACATGTTTTATGTTTTGGAATTTATGATATTAAAGATAATGAATTCATGCTTATTACAGAAGTACAATATCGCCTTCGATCGATTTTTAACTAATAACTAATCACAAAAAAAGAAAATACATTTGAACGCAAGAAAATGTGAGACAAAACGCTGATTTTTTTTTCACTATCGAATATCATAAATTCAAATTCATTTGGTATGAACCTTACAGGTGTCCTATTGTTGACAGAAATAGTCTTATTATCCATTCTATTTCTATACTATAGTTTTGTATTTATTAGATTATATACAGCTCTAAGCAGCGATTCACACGGTCTATGGCGTGCTCAATTAGCATTAGCTACATGTCAAATCAATTGTTTCACTAAATTAAATTGGAAATATTATGGCCCCTTATTTCCCGATGTATTTTGGAGTAAAAGTGGTAGTTTATTAGTTCACAATGACACTCATCGTTATTTATTTTTCAATGATTCAAATATTTCGATAGCACAAACAAAAGATCTTATTCATTATGATCTTTCATCTAGTTTATTGCTTAGAACTCGATCTGATCATTTTGATTCAGCACTTGTCGAAGCTGGACCACAACCATTAAAATTAAGTGATAACAATTATCTATTTCTTTATAATTCAGCACGACATACAACAATTCCAAATCTAAAACCTAATTGGAATTTTCAATATAATTTAGGTTGGGCAATATTAAATGGTGAAGATCCAACACAAGTTTTAGCTAGAAGTGAATTACCAATTTTGTCACCAGAATTAGATTGGGAAAGATGTGATACGGAGTCAGGGGAATGGGCTAATCGTGGTCTTACACCACTTGTTATTTTTGTTGAAGGATGGAAGAAAATAGCTGAAGATACATTCTTAGTTTGGTATCAAGGATGTGATTCAACTATGGGTTTAGCTGAACTTAAAGTGTTTTTTTCATAAATTAGAATTATTATACAATGAGTCCCTATTTCTGTGTCTAACAGATTTTTTTTATGAATACTATAATATTGATATATCTTTAATATTTACAATGAAATTTTAAAATGATTTCAAATAGAATTATTTAAATTCAAACATCTTACACAGAAACGATTAAAGATTCTATATGAAAATAGAAATAAATCTAATAATAACATATGTTGAATACAGTATTTGATAATGATTATAAAATAGATTTTAGTTGTTGAATATTCTTCTTCTGTTTTTTTCTTGATCAAAACGAAANATATGAAAGAGGGACCCTACAAACCCCATAATCGCCTCGAACAACACTATGTTTTGTCCTGATAATAGTGGAGAAAACCTTTCCTGATTCATTTTGTACCTAAATTTAAAATCTCATATCCCCCTCTAGGCAAGCCAACAGCAGCTAATATTTTAACCTTGTTAGTTTGGCGGTGAGAGCTTTCTTTTGATGCAAAAATATCTGGTCTTTTCAACTTACGATACAAACACCTCCATTGTCAGATAAGTTGACTCTATTCCCTTGGTATTTATTTATACACAAACGTTCACGAAGTCTAAAGTTTGTTGCTTTTGAAAGAGATTACATCGAATAATAAATACTATCAAACAAAACGGTCTCTTGATCTGATTGATGAGTGTTTTCGTCGATTCATTTTTTATAAATTGAATCACGTTTTTAATAGAAGTAAGTTGTTGTAGAGAGGATGATAAATATATTCTCATTAAAAATTGTTATTTATACTGAAGGTTGGATACCAAAACAGTAGTTTTTATATTTTTTTCACATACACTTACTTGATGCAATGGAAATGTATTTTCTATCATCTGAAACACTTCTTTTGCATTTATTAATGTTTAAAGACATTTCGTACTCAAAAATTCAGAATCTTTAAATTTACATCAGTTTTTATCTGAAGTGATCTTTACACAATAATTTGAAAAGACGCACGTCAACAGAAAAGAAAATGTTTTTTTTTTTATTTCGATATTTTGAATAAATTCATCGATTAGCAATATTTATACTAAAAGATGGAGATCGTGGACTCCAAGTCTTTATTATCTTTAAAACTGATCTTTAACTTTAATAATATTTAATCGAACTATTGAAAATATTTTCTACTCAAGTTTTTACGATTATTGATCCGTTTAGAGGTTTCTTATGCCAACGAAAAATATTATTTGACTTTGTAACTAAAGAATTTTGATGGAAAAGTAAAACTTTGATTTATGATTCAAAAATGAAATCTATAATTTCTCCAATAAAAAAATAAATTTTTCTTTAATTTAAATTATAATGATAATATTCTAACATCATAAGAGATACAATTTTACATCCTTCAAGCATGTGTTGAGAATTTTTAAGCGAGAATCAATGATTGACCAATTCATTATCAACTTCTATGAATACTACAAAAATCAGTATTAATTAATTTCCCTAAAACTAATACATTGAATTGGCTGAGTATTTATTTCCATTGCGTAAGATAATCTCTTTAGAATAAATAAATTTAAGATGTTCAATTTATGTAAGTCTTTTCATACATATCATCTTCATAAACGCATGTCAAAGAATACTTGAATAGACCATGAGTAAAAATTGCAATGAATTCCGATTGGTTCTAATGGCTAAGGATAAACTGCGTACACTTTTCAATGTAGCATGCGAATGTAGCTTATCGCAAGCACAACTTTCCAAATATAAATTCTCTCCAATTCGTAAAGCCCGATCTTACTAAATAATATAACAGATGTCGTTAGACACAATCAATTGATGAATACCTAGTGACATCTCTCAAAATGAAACCTTTTCTTTTCACTAATTACATTAAAAACAACTGATAATAAGTGGTCTAACCAAACAAATTATATTTATCTATATTTCACCACTCGAAAAAATGATAATTAAGGTATTCAGACCTCTACCTAATTTAACCTTTCTGTTGATGCAAAGATAATGGCGATTAGAAGAAAGACTAATGGGTATGTTCTTTGTTTCTGATGGTGCGCGTGGCTGTTGTTCATTCATATATTACCTTGTACTTTTTATTCAGATAGAATTTAAATAGTTTTTCCGCTTTTTTTCTTATTGATCTATTAGAACTAAGATGTCGGATACAACTGTTGAATCCCATCAAACAGTACCAGATAAAACAAATGAAAATGACCAAACATCATCAACGAATGGGGAAAAAAATTCCTTAAATGAACCAATGGATCAGCAACAAACTGATTCAATATTAAATAAGGTAAATAATGATTTATCATCCAATGACACATCAACAAAAGATGATTCAACAACAAGTAAACAAAAAGCAGATTTATCAACATTACCAACACGTGCATATCTTGATCAAACTGTCGTACCTATACTTTTACAAGGTATGTCACAATTAGCTCGTGATCGTCCAGTTAAACCCATTGAAAGTTTAGCTTTATATTTACAACAAAATAAAGAAAAATATGGCGAATGATTTCTCATAATAAAAAAACATTTCTTTGCATCTGTTCTTTTTTTGTTGTTGTTACATAGATTCTGGAATGCTATAAAGCACTTTTTTCTTTGTTGTAGTTGTTATAGCTGTACTTTTTATAAGTGTACACAACTTTTTTTGCACTTATTACTGTTATGTATTAGGCACTTTTGGATGTAAGATAAGACGGAAGAAAACAATCCCACAATGGGAGAAAATTTATTTTAAAAAAAATTTCTTTTCGCGTCACTGGTTTTTTTTTAGATTTAATTCCTACGCACATTTAATTAGCTATGTCGGAAGTTTCGGGTGAAAATCAACAAACACCAACTAATGCTGATAGTGAATCAGGTGATAAAAATGTTGTTAGTACAACAACAGCAGCACCGGAGAACATGGAAGCTCAACCAGCTGTTGATGCAGGTGAACAACAATCAAATGATAAACAAGCACCATCAGCTGATGCAACCAAGGAAAATACTTCAAGTTCGCAACAACAATCAGGTGAAAAGACCAAACCTGACTTATCAACATTACCAACACGGGCTTATCTTGATCAAACTGTTGTACCAATTCTTCTTCAAGCAATGTCTCAACTTGCTAAAGAACGGCCCGCTAAACCAATTAGTTTTCTAGCTGAATACTTACTTAATCATAAAGAAAAATACAATGAATGAAGATAAAGAGAACGACAATATCAGATTCAGACAATTTCTTTTCTTTTCTTTCTCTTGCCTTTGTTTCTTTTTCTTTTTTTTGCTGTTAATCGAACGGTTTTTATGATTATTCATCAACTATCTTTGTCTTCTTCGTCTTCTTTTTTTTGTTTCTTTTTTTCTCCTTCTGTATTTGTTGCGTTTCAAAAACATAGTCTACTATTGTTGATTGTGGTCCTGTTTAAAAAGAAGAGAAAATAAAAAACTACATTAAAAGAAAAATCTATGTGTCGATAAATGTATCATCAATTTTCAAATCAACTGAAATGTTTTGCTATGATAAATATGAAAATCTTCATTCCATTCGACTCATCAAAATCAAGTTGTCTTTTGTATTTGGGTATTTGATATATTATAATCTTGCTAATATATGCTAACAACTCTTATCGTTTCTTCTGTTGATTTATCAGTAACTATCTATTGACATTCGCTTTGTTAATACTTATTCCAAATTCATTCATTTGTATAAGAAATCTAAATACAGTTAATAATACAGGTAAAAAGTCAACTGTTAAAATGAAAAATTTCCCTTAACAAAGAGAAGTACTTCAAAAATTTTCCCTACCATCAAAATAAAATGAATAATTCATTTTTCTTTTAAATATATATACACATTAAAAAAAACTTAAGAGAAAAACAAGGCTATCATATACTCAAAATAACGTTATATGGAAAGCAAATTAGTTTCATCAATCATCGAATATTATTGATAGTCTTGATACTTGGTCATTTCAGGAACGATTTATGATAACTGAAGCCAGGCTTAAAAGTTTTCATAATGGCATTAGTTGTCTCAAGTTCTGCTGAAATCATCAAGGGTAAGGACGAGAATGATCAGCTAAATTCAGGACTAGCGCGGTATAACAAAGTTTACTAACTTATTACCTTATCTTCGTCAGTTTCGTCACAACTTTTGGCAAGCAATTTGTTATGTATTTTAGGAAAGAAAAAAACAGCGATTAACCTTAACAGACATGCAAATAGATGAAATGTTCTAATACTCTCCATATTTGGAGGGTATAAACAAAGTAAAAACAAAACGTTGTATAGAACATATGTGTGTGTCGAATGAGAGATGCATTTAATGGCGAAAGGAATTAAACAAAAAATAGTTGAATTGCTTTCTGTCGAGAAATTAATCATGGAATGTGTGCATGAATTTTAATTACTATGAAAGGAAAATTTCATTAGCTAATTTCTTACATTGAAAAATTTTCATGTAGACAATAATTTTTCTAATATTTACGTCAACATGGAGAGACTCTGCAGGTTTGGTTATGACATAAGAATTTATAGAAAAAATAATATTAATTACAAATCATTATTTTCTAAGGATCGAAAAATAAATCATGTACTAATAGACTTCAAAAACAACGAACAAAGTTAAAATATATTTATGAATGTTGTTGCTTTTTGCAAAACAAACTCAAAATTCACATATTATTTATGATCATCAACTGGTAAATCTACGTATTTGTTAATTTTCGAAGACTGAATATTTGTTTCTTTCACAAAGAATTATTCTTCAAAAAAAATTGAAATTATATTTTTAAACGGAGAATATATATATATAGTTATAGACACCAAGTACAGATTCAAAGGCATAACTTATCAAGTCATACTTATACACAATCAACAAAAAAAATAAATTGGTCATTCATTGTGATTATATTGTATTTGAGATTATCGTCTCATCGAATAAGAAATGATTAACAAATGAATATCTTTTATTTTGTACACTTCTCAATTGTAGTACTCTCATAAAAATATATGAGTTGTTTGAATAGTGTCACAATAGTAATGAATGTATTCGCATTGTATGAAAGTGTTTTCTATTTATGTGAAAATAGCTATGTTCTACTCTAACTTTCTTATTTGTTTCTTCAGATAATTGTTATAATTGATTTTAAAGTATGTGAAACGAGTCAAAGATCACTTAAGATTCATCTTATGAATTTGACTCGATTCAGTTTCATTTCGAATCTTCGATAAATACACGATGTTTGATATTAATAGAACGATTTTGTTTTTTCTCACAAGTATAATATTAATCAGACTGCTATCATTTAAATATGAATATCTATTTTGTAAAATGAACAGTTTTCCATTGAAGGAAAATATACATTTGTTATTATGAATAATCAAAAGTATTGTTAACAAAAAGAATAAGATCTCAATACATTATTTATGTATACTTGTTATATAACGAAATTAAAGCTATTAGTCAATATAGACAGTTTGTAAATTCATCAAGATTTACATTTAATAAATGCCTTTCTCTGGCGAAAGAACATTTTTGAGTGTATATTCAGAGAATGAGTTCAAAAGCATTCTATTTATTAGGGAACTCGATGGATATCTCAAATATTTTAGTTATTTCCATTTTGGTCTCGAAAACCAAGTGTCTAACTTTTTCATTTCTAAGTTGTATCCAACTAGTAGACATGTCATGTCATTTTTCGCTTTTATCAAATTTGCATGAACAAGCGATTTTCTTTTGAGAAAACAACATAATGCGATATGAAGAGCCGACTAGTTATTGGATTTACTGTCTCAATCTAATGCTTATCTGATTGATCACTTATCGTTTTCGATAATATAGAGACGCAGTAGATAGAGAACTAGATTGGAAAAAAACATTTGATCTATTCAATTTGATAATGAGATGAGGCAGCGCTTCCATATAGATTTATACTCATACCAAGTAGCTTTCTCCGAAGAAAACTACTTGGTGCAAATTTGATAAGAGCGAAACGTGACATAATACGTCTACTAGTAAGAAAGAGCTTAAAAATGAAAGAGTTAGGCACGCTTGTTTTCCCAGATCAAACCGGAAGTCACTAAGATATTGATGATATTTATCGTGGAACCTCCCATATAGAATGCTTTTGAACTTATTCTCAAGAATTACATTTAAAGAAATCATCAATAAAGGGCGTTGAGATAAAAATTGCATTTTTTGACGCCACACCTTTTTCTCCATTGAATGTTCAGTATAAAAAAAAAATTTTTGTAGAAAGAACCTGCTCGTTCAAATACACAGCTTCCTATTAATTAAATAACCATTCATTAAATAAATATATCAAAACTAGAAATGGATAAAAACATGTTTCATAAACAAAATCTAACCTATTACAAAGTTTTGTTTTTCAAATACAATGTATTTTATTGAACAGAAAATATTAAAAACAAAAAAAAATGAAGTTCAATACCAATGGTACTTATAGCTGCTCGACAATATCCCTATCTGTTCATGTAGAATAATCTTGAGTTATTTCAACATAATTTTCATATCTAACTGATTCACATTCAATTCATATCCTATTTAAAAATGCTCTTTAGAACAATTTAAGCTTCAAAATTTTTGCTGAAAGTTGTAAGAATAAAAAGAAAAATATTACTAGTACCAGTCTGCACGTCTTTTACGGTTGACTTCAAATATATTCCGACGTTACAGTAACTTTTAGAAATTAATTTTCAGAGTAGATATATTTGAGTTATCTGGATAATCTTCTATTTTTTTCTTATCGGTTGTTAATGTTTCCATCGATTATATCTAAGAACACGTTATAGTGTTAAAAAAGCATTAACTGAATTCTCCATCTGACTCTACATTATTCTTAATTAAGCATTACAACATATGTTGGAAGATATTAATTTTCAATATTGTCTATTTTTTTTCAACCATGGTTGAATTATTACATATAAAACTCAACATCATGCGTCATTAAATTTGTATTCCATGTTCTCATTTTTCATAGATAATAATATTCTATCATTATTTTCATGATCAAAAATTTGTTTTTTGTAAAATTATTATGACAAAAAAAAAAACAAGGAAATATCATGATCAAATATATATTTCAAAGTAGAATATCAAAATGTTTGAATATTTTCTTTTCTGAAAATTCAATTTATATTTATCAAACAAATTCAAATAGTTGTTTTTTTTTTTCTTTCTGAGTTAGATCATTCGAATAGAGCAAATACAAACACAAATAATTAATTAATAAATGAAAATACACTGATACAAAGATAAAACTGAGTATTCATTTGAACAAATAGAAAGATCGAATAAAAAGACAATTCACACATAGACACTGTACAAAATATTAATGATTTCATAAACATACATATAAAGAAAAGAAAAAAAAAAAAAAAGATTTCTAAGTGCAGATGTGAAAAAAAAGAAATGATCTTATCAGAAAATTTAGCTGATATTTAAAGAGATATACAAGGTAACAAATGGGGACGGAATGAATAAAAGAAAGAAGAAGAAAAAACAAACTTTCACACATGTACATTTTATCATTTTTATTTGTTTCTTTCGTTTTATGGACTATCTCGATGAGTAATATTTTTTTGTTGCAATAATTGGGTTTCAAGTTGTTTTAATGCATTCGAATGAATTTGATCCATTTGAGCTATTCTCATTGAATGCTGTTGTTGTAACGCAATAACAAATTTAATTAAATCTAATAAAAATTTACACCAAAAAAAAAGAAAACTTAATTTAATAATAAAAATAAATTGTTTACCATCTTTTGAAGTTGATTGAAGATCATCAGGTAAAAGTTGCATATGAATATCATTATCTATATCATCTGATGATAATTTATTATTAAAATTAAATGTTGTATTCAACGTAGATGTTGCATGTGAATAAGAATCTCCATTATGACTCCATTCAGTTGATGGTGATGTTAGAAAACCATTAGTTGGTGTTGATGTCCATGGAGATGATGGACATGTTGAAGGTAATAAAAATTTTGTACTGGAACGTGAACTAGAATAAAATTTAGATAGAAGATTAAGTCTATTATTATGAAGAAAACAAAGAATATATATTACCTTGGTGCTGAATCAATATTTTCATGGTCTAATAACGAACGATTTGTTGATTTATCAAGTCGAGGACTATTAGTCTGTAAATAATGAAATGAATAAATTATTGACAATGAAAAATTTTCCTAATGAGTATTTTTTTCCTTAACAACCAAACATTACTATGGTTTTTAGTTAATTAACCAGAACTCATTAAGTGATATCTGAATTGGAAAAAAAATCGCTTTTCTTTGATTATCTTTTGAAGATTATACAGAGCAAACCGTAAAAAATTTGTTCTCAAAGAGCATAGCTGAATGTTATTTCATACTCTTATCTTTTGTATTGAAATTCCATTGTTTTCGTCTATTAGATATCTTAAAATAAGACAATTGAAATCACCTTTGATGATGAAAAGAAAGAAGTCATTTTAGCCATATTATTTCCATTTGTTGTAATTGATTCACGTGATACACTTCGTCGTAAATCCATTGTCACTGAACGTGCTTTCGATCTTGAATCATTTGTATTATTCGATGGTGGTGTTATTACATTATTTGTTGATGCTGGTGAAGATTTTCCATTATCAGTTGTTGTCGAATTCTGTATACGTAATTTTGGTGCAATAAAACGACGTCGTACAGAACCAAGCAATGAACTATCAGTATGACGATCAGATGTTTTTATAGAAGAATTATTATGTGTTTCTTCTTTTTGTTGTTGTTCAATATCACATTCACGTTTAAATTGACTATTGGATAAAATAAAATTCATTAATGGACGATTATTATCATGTAGTGTACGATATAAATTATCAAATAAATTCATTTTTGTACGTTCCTATTAAAAGAAAAACAAATAAATTCATAAGAAAAAAAAAAAAAAAAATTTTTTTTCTACTTGATATTTTTGAAATGTACTTGCGCGACATGATGCCATTTCAGCATTAATTAATTTTGTTAATAACCATTGTTTAAATATATGATCACAATGAAATGACGATGAATGATTAAGACCTGGTCCAAATGATGGTACACTATCACGATGAATAATAGATACTTTAAATTGTGTACCATCATTATTTAATGGTGTTATAACAAGATAAACATGTAAAAATTGTGATGCTATACATTCTGGATTAAATATTGTTTCAGTTTCTTGAAAAATAATTGCAACAATATCATTTCCAATATGACGTTTACGTTCAAGTTGTTGTCGTTCACTTTTTGAATGTGGTAATAATGTACTAATATGAAACATAATTTCATGATTACGAAACTGTTCATAAATTGATTCAGTTCCTGTCTGATCTGATTTAACATCAAGACCACCACGAAATCTAAATAAAAAAAAAAAAGAAGAATATCTTTCTCTTTTCTATCAAATAATTTTTTAGTTTTATTTTTTACCCTCGAAAATCTTTTAGTTTAACACGTGTACCAATTAAATCAAGAAATTTATCCATAGCAATACTATGTGTTTCATTACTAAATATATCTTCTTCAGTTAATTGATTTTCACGTTGATATATTATTCCAAATTTATGTTGATTAGATACATGTGATTCATCATATTTTAATAATAAATCATGTGCCTAAATAAGAAAAAAATCGAGACAATTTTTTATTTATTTTCCAAGACATGAAATTCTTTTTTTCTTATTTACTCCATCACACAGCACCGGATCAAAATATTCAATATCTGTAATAGCGCATTGTTCACATATTCGTCGTAATATATCAAGAGGAGTAGATGATGAATGTATATCGAATATAGTTTCAATCAATGTTCGTTGTCGTATTCTATAGAATTATACATAATAATTTCTTATCAAAAAAAGAAAATAAGATTTTAACTGTATTACCTAACAATTGACATTATAGATCTTTGTTTATTTTGATCAATAGAATGTTTATATGAAATAATAACAGGTCCATAACTTTCACTAATACCATACCAATTAAAATGTTCCTAAAATAAACAATTAGTCATAAATAATTATTTATTTGTATCTCTATACTTTTGTTTCAAATTGTTGACGATATATTAATGGTTTATCATCAATTTCAAGTTGAGGTAAACATTCATCAAAACTTGTTCCACTATTTGCATGTATAGAAGTTGAACTTTCATAACACCATGTATATTCATTTGTTGATCTACTATATGTCATTGGTGCATGATTACCAAGAAAAACTGTTCGCTGTGATGATGGAGATTCAACCATACCAGTTGTACTGACATTAGATAATGGTTCAAATAATCCCTATAAATAGTTTATAGCAAATAAAAAGTAAAAAAAAAAAAAATAAACATTGTTTGTTTTTTACCAGTCGATCAACTGTAGTAGCAGGAGCCGTAGAGAAACGCTATAAAGAAAACAAGATAAAAGGTTATTAAGGTTCAATGAAATTCGTCAGAAACGTATTTTCATCAAGCAAAAATAAAATTATTAGTCTATGAAAGCACGTACAAGATAATTATTACTACGAATATGTAATAACGGCGATAAATTGATCATTCGATGAGTAAATATTGGTGACATTCCTGATAACTTCTCATCAGAATTCATGTGTAAACGAATCTCAGTTGTTAATGCTCGTTCACGTCGACGCATATCGATGGTTTTTTCTTTTGAAGAATAATATTTAATGTCAAAAAAAAAAGGATCTATTAGAATGAAGATTGATTTGTATGGAATAGGATTGTTATTATTATTATTACTATTCAGCACAATAACAAATAACTATTGACGATAGTCAAGAGACAAAAGGAAAGAAATCTTTTTTTTTCTCTTTCTCTCTCTCTTTCTAGTACAGAAGAGAAAGCGTTGCGATGTGTTTTAGAGACGTGCGACGCTTGTCTGATGATGAAAAATAAGTGCTCTTCTTCTTCTCCTTCTTTTTTTCCTTAAGCGAATGCTACAAATGCTTCTATCATTCTCGTCGCGTGTTTTTGTTCATCATCATCATCATCATCAGTTTCTTCTTTTTTTTTTTTTGGTTCTTTTTTTTTCCTCATTTCCTTTCCTCGTTTATATGACAGCTAAGAAAACCAAAACAGACATACTAAGCAGTAGACACAAAGACAAGAGATGAAAGAAAGAAGAAAAAAATGAATAGAACTACAAAATGGTAATATCTCGTTGCCATCCATTTGGTGGCAATGGCGCAATCATATTGGTAACATACGAGTGAAAGCTGACAAATGTAGAACATTCAACCACTTAAAGAAATGTGATGATGTAATCAATACTATTTCATTATGAGAAAAAGATCAATTAACCCTACAAATGGTATTATTAAAGCAGCTTATATTAGTTCCCATAGAGAGATATGTATGTCTTGCATACCTGAAGAAAGCCGAATACACTATATTTACGCGGCTGTACAAAAGTAAAAATAAAAATAATCTTTTTGTTTTTGTTTATTGTGTTTCTATTTCATTTCTTATTAATATTAATGAGTCGAAATAGAAGACACAAAGAATTAAAATTTATAAAACATACTTGAGTTTCTTGTGTTGTTGGTTGTGTTGTATTATTATTGACACTGATTGAATCCGATGCAGTACCCATTAAATTAACCAAACTTGTACTAATCTAAACACAATAAAACTTAAATTAATTAATAATAAACAATAATCTGTCTTTTTCTTTTAATATCTATTTATAAACATGATCTATTAGTAAAATCTATGATTGTACTAGATAGTGTCGGTTTAACTAGTCGAGAGACGACTAACCTCATCTCTTTTTTTTCTTTCGAATGAATTCAATTTGACACGCAAGTGAGATTAGAGAGTAATAGACTCTATCTATATGTGCGTGTACATGAGCAAGAGAAGAAAAAAAAGTATTGATATGCTTGATCTGATGCGTCGTACGCTCACGAATCGATCCATGAAACTGTTTAAATAATACTTTGGTCAGTCACACAACATCGAGAAAAAAAGAAAGTGTTTATCTGTCTCGGTATGTACTGCATGGATATATTGATTACTTTCGAATCGAAACAAAAACGAAGACAGAAATAAAGAATATGTGAACGAACGTACACGAACGAGAACGAGAAAAATGAAAGAGATAAAAATATATTCATATAGAATAGAATATAACGATGATGTGTTAGATACTCTTCTTCTCACCTCTTTATTAGGTAAAACTCGAGGAGGAGCCAATGATGATGATGATGATATGTCATCGGCTATACTAGATGATACTTGTGATGATGTATTATCGCCTACAGATGGATTTCGTGTTGTTGGTGGCATTTGAACACTGTTCTTTTTATCCAATGGTTTACGTGGTGGCAACGCAGGCGGAATATCTTGATTAGTCGATTGTGCTGTTGACCCAGCAAGACGACTACCATGTTTATGTGATGAGGAAGATTTTTTCGGTAATAAAGATGTTTTAGGTGAATATCGATTTTCATCTTCATGTGTAACATTTGTTTCAACTGTTGATGAACCTTGTTTATTTGAACCAGAATTACGACCGGGTTTTCGTCTAAATGAGAAATAAAAATAAATTAATAAGCTTTTTTGAAACAATTTTTTTTTTCTCTTTCATAGCTATTTTTATCAAGAAAATTAGTCATGCAAAGTACTGAATCATATAATACAACACAAAAAAGAAATAATTATTTTTACTTGTCAAAAGAGTTCTAAAATATAAAGGATTTAGTAATATGTTTTTTGATAGATGATGCTTATTTTCATAATCGAACTAATCTATATCAACACATCATCAATTTCGTTAAATGTCGCATTTTTTATATATTGTATCACAGTGTTCGTTGAACTTTTAATAGGATTGACCTAATGCTTTTCTTTGTTATATTTGAAATAAGACAAGCATCACTATTCGGCTTAACACGGATTGAAGTTCTACTACTTTGATCTTTTCTTTATAGTATGTAAATATCAATTATGATATTTATAAAAATAAGAATTCAATGAAATATTAAGTTATTTTTAAACTTTAATCTGTATCTATATTCAATGCCTTCATTTTAATAAATATTCTAAATAAACAGGTTCTATTTTATACTTAAAACTGTGAAATGATTTGTTTTATCTTAATAAAAAGAAAACTGTTTTCTTTTTGAAAATAATTATAAAGGCAGAATTGACTGCAAAACAAAAGGTTTCAAGTACACCTAATCAATTTTATTTCTTGTCTCAAGTATACGTCAAATATCACGAGACAGAGAACCTAATTATATATATGTATTGATGTATATCAACGTGTATAATCAAGAGATTGATTTATTATTTCTTTCTCGTATGCAACAGTCTATGAAACACTTTACATTACTTGTTTTTTCAATGATGATGACAATGATAATCATCATATATTCTCTTTTACCTCCTTGAACTTATATTGATATACCTGATGTTGAAAGATGGTAAAAATTGCATCTTAGATTGATGATGTATGTTGATCGATAGATGAAAAAAAAACCAAATATACGTCGACACGTTGAAATCTCGTCAATATTATCAATAATAATATTATTGTTCTTCTCTCGACTATGAGAAACCTTCGTCTTGAATTACTATAGATACTCCTACTCCTCGGTACACATACACATGCCAAGATGCGATGGATGAGAAATTAAAAAATCACTTTGTGTGTTTTTTTCTTCTTCTTTTTTCTCTCACAATTTGTATGGAAAGAATGATGAAAAAAAAAGAAATCAAGCAACAGATGTTAAGACATACAATTGTATGTGGACTCGTTATCGTACCTGAATCACAACATCTGTCTTCGAAGAGATCAGAACTTAATCAGTAATGTACAATACAAGTAAAAAAAAATAAAAAAAATAATAACTCTTCATCGTTTTATGATAGCAAAATAAAATGTCATCTTATGTATAAGGAAAAAAAAATACATACCTTCGACGAAATGAGTTTAACATTGCTGTTATCGGATATTCTTTGTAGTAGGAACGTCAATTTTAATATTGTTGTATACTCGTACTCTTATTCTTGCGTATAAAATTTGTAATCCGTCATAAATATTCGTCTTCCTAATTTTCATATGGTATGACTTGTCGTCAATGCATGCGTGATGATTCAAAATAATTGTCGTCAGAGCGGGGGTAAAGACAGAGATGCAAACGAATGACGAACAAAAATAAAGCAGTGATGTGTGTGTCTGCTAATGCCACTTTTGTTCTTTCTCTCTTTATTTCTCTCTTGTAACTTCTTAAAATAAAGTTGACCGTCAACGTTCTCTTCTCAAGTTTTTTTTTTTGTTCGAAACCAAAAAAGAAAAAAGTGAGAGAAAGCACGGTAACAACAGGTCAATACGAATGCATACATGCATTCTTTTACCGTTTCTTCTCGTTATTGAATTTTTTTGTTAGTTCTCTTTTCTCGCGTCTCGGTGATAATTCAAGGAGGTACCACTATACCTGTATGGTATGACTGTTATTGTCGCCGGTCGAGGACAGAGAAGAAAAAAAAAGGAGAAAAAGAATCAACATGAACTTGACATTTCGTGTAGAACACATCGACGAAAGAAAGAAATGAACTCTGTTATAATCGCCATTTATTTTGCCAATTATCATAAAATTAATGCATACCTTCAACGCACAAACCTACAGTGTGCACCATATGAGATGACCTCTAATTACATTTGATGCAAGTTGATTACAATATATGCGTGCGTATAAATCCTAATGTACAATCAGGTGTTATAGTTTTGTTTTACGTAACTTGAATAATTCTTATGAAGGTTATAAAAAATTTCTGTATGTTTTTGTTTTAGAATTTTACTGATTGAATTCATTGATCTTTATTCTTTATTCTTCTTTTTTGAAAATGCTTACTTTTCATCCATGTCGATTGTTATTAGTGGTATATTAAATATTAGTTTGCTTGCGTATCGTTAATTTATAATAGACGCTTACACATTTAATATGCAAAAGAGTAACAATAAAACGGGTAGTTGCAAATTAAATGTACTAGCATTATCTTTTTTTTCTTACAATCTTACATCGTTCACGGCAACGCTGAAAATGTTTCGTAGTAGAAGTAGTAGTCGACAGAAGAAAAGAATTCACTATGAAAAACATACTCGCAATCCTTTTTTTCCTGTTCTCAGACACAAGAAGGAAATAAAACCGGCGTAAACTAGCGAATCAGTTGTCGAGCGCAACATTCATAACATGATCAACTAAGACAAACATATGGTTCCATAGTCGAAGAAAAAAAAAACGTAGAACTACAAGGAAATGGTTTAGAAAACAAGATGTCGTATATCGGTTAAGGATTCAATGGCAGAGTATAGCACACTAATGTATTTCTTATATAATTCTCGAAATAGTTCAAGTATGTCGTGTTCTTCTCGATTGATTAAAACATGTATACAAATAAATCATATTTAGTATTTCTTTACCTTGCTGAAGCACATGAAGTTAATTGACGTATAGAATGCCTAAAAGTGGAAGACATTGAACGGCTGCTGTTTTTAGATGATTGGTTTTTCAAGTATTGTCTTCGATCATTATTATCAGGGCTTCGATTATGTTTTACTAGTTTATAATGTTTATATTCAATGTCTTCTTGGTAACCATCACGCGTCTCATATGTTGTTTGCATGGTTTTGAGATCTTTTTCGTTTTAGATTGAATGTTCGCTCTTCACACTATTGTTATCATCTTAAAAAAAATAAAATTAAATCAGGATTAAGAATAGCAAGGACAGGTCAGTTCAGGGTCATTCATCATCAAAAAAAAAGGAAGAAGAAGATGAAATACGAACGACAAAGACAGACGGAGAGAAAGAAGAGAAAAAATGATGTACAATGTCGTCAATAAGTAAAACAGTGAGGGACACTTTCGTTCATTAAACTTCAATATTGTATTTACTCGGCGTGTATTTTAGCACACAATAGTTTACCTTCGTCAATGAGTATGTATGAGTATACGTCTTGATAGTTGATGAGACATAAACTGTGAGTCACAAAGGATCAATAGAAGGAGAAAAATAATCGTGTCGCCTTATTTGAATTGTTATTCAAATAGAATATGAAATGTCTTTTGTTTTCGCCAAATATAGATGATACTATTACTATTATTCAGAAATCTATATAGCGAAAAGTAGTCTCTTATTTTGTAGAAAAAAAAAAGATAAGAAAAGGGATCCTTTTTTTTTCATCGTTTCCTATTTAAAGAAATGCGTAATATAAGTAAAAATGTCTGTGGAAAGAGCAAGACTCAACGCGCTATTATTTAACTAAAAAATAGATACGAGTACAAGAAATAAAAAAACGAACGAAGTAGTGCATGTATGCACATGTGCCAAAAAAAAACGAAAAAAAAGTAAGAGAACATATAATAAAATGACAACGACTTGTCATTGGTGCTTTTGTTGTATAGGTTAGCATTTTCGTGATATACAATCACATGTATGGGATGTTTATTAGTCATTTCTGTTTTATTTAAGAAGTAAACTTACTCATAATTACTCGCCGTATGCTTTTGTAAATATGAATGAGGATTGGTGACTTTCTCCTATGCTTTCTTTTTTTTCTTGTCTTCTATTTAAAGATAAGACCATCCCATATGTCGTTCTACTGTGTTGAAAAGATAATAATAATGATTTGACAGTAGACTAGATGAAGTAAGAATACACACAATAAATGTTCACACAAATTACACCATGCACAATTGAACTAATGAACTTGCGAAAAAAAAGAAAGAAAAACAGGATGTAGTTTTTTTAGTAAGAATGAGCACTGAGAATAATCCGTAAAAGAGATGTAGTGCTTGCTTGAATAAATCTTAAAACTGCTCTACTTTCTTTTCGAGATAGTTAATTTGAACTTCTTCGTATAAAAAAAAGAACTTTTATAAAGGTTCTCAGTAATTTAATATCCAGTATATTATGTGTCAAATAATCAATATTTTGAAATATGAATAAAAATAGACGGACGTTACTAATTATTTTGTAATTGTAAAATTTTAACTAATTATTAAAATTTATGTTGTCTTATTATAAAATTGAATAATCTACAAATGATGAGTAGTCACGAATATTTTATTTTCATAATAAGATATCTTTGCATATAAGCAACAAACTTATACAGGTAAGAAAAAAAAATCATAGATTAAATAACAAGTCATCAATAAAAAAAGAAACAATGATAAAATTTTATATACAAAACTCGTCACGACTTATTACAATAATTTTATGAACAAAAAAGAATGACATTTGAGCGACAAGAAAAAGTTTTATAATTAATGAGGTCGAAACAATTGGACGATAAAATAAAGAACAAAGTCACAAACTGATTTATATAAAAGTTGTCGATGTCAGAAAATGCTTTTGGAAAATTGTGCATTTTTCTTTATTAACAATAATGATGACATTAAATAAACAATCAAATAGAATAAGTTGACAGTTATCTTGTCCATTGTATCAATCATAAATAATACGATTCAAATAATCTTTATTGTTGAAATCATAGTTGAAAATAATGTAAATCACGATACTTTCGAGACTACTTTAATTTATTAAATCTGTCTGCTAAGAAAGATTTTATAGTCAGTAATGACAAATTTTCAATAAAGTATCAATAATCAAAATTGCTCTCAATGAATTGCGTTTACAAAGTGTTCTTATAGTTCAATATTAATAATATACTATTTTTACTTATAATAAATGCAATAGATGCGAAAGTCCAATTGGAAACTCTTCGTTGTAAGATGATTAAAGATATAGAAATGTTTGTTCATCTTTCTTTAATATCAAACGGCAAAAACATAAAAATACAGAATTTCTAGCATAGAAAGAAGAGCATCTAATTAAGTCTGATTTACTGTTTTTATTCATTTCATACATTTAACGTGTGATTGTTTTCTAATGATAGTAAATTAATTAATACAAACGATGCTTTCAAAGGAAAAAAAAAACTTAGCTCATAGTCCGTCTTTTTTTCAGTATTTATCATAATAAGTCACGTCAGATTTGAGAATAAATTTGACATGGAAATGAATGAAGATAGACGTACATTAAAAAAACGTTCTACTGATGATATTGTTTAAACTTATTTTCTTGTTATGTTATTAGTTTTATCAATGTCAACTAGTATGAACAAGATGACATGAAGATACTAAATCTATTGTATAAGGCGAGATAGTGCGAATATGATTGGATACATGTTGATTGAAATTGTCAGAGTAAGTTTTTATGAAAACTCTCAATCTCATTTATAATTAATTTTTGAAAAATTCAATATTCAATTCCGTGCTTTTCTCTGTGTTTTATACCAACACCAAGCAAAACAAAGATTTAACGTTTTGCGAAAGTTAATCTCTCAGTGAAAATTTCAATTATCATCCTTAATTTTAGACGAAATGTTTGACATCGATTTTTTTCCAAACAAGCAATAATTAGTTATTAATTATTATGTTAATTAGAGTGGCGATCATATCGGATGATTAGCTATTGATTATCTTAAGTCATTAAACATTTTACATCGTTTGGTTCATATATAACATCCGTCTGACTTGACAGAACCTATTTTCCCAATATTATTGAAGCATAATGACATTGAAATACATGAAACTAAGACTTAATGCATCAATTACTAATGAGCAAACCAGTCGCAACACCAACCACATGAAAAACTTCGCAAAATCAACTATTAGTTATTGATAAGCTATAATTAATGCGTCCTTGAATTCAATACAAGTGCATTGAACTTTTTCTTCATATTTAACACGCTTATCAGTCCTTTTAAATATTTTACTATCGAATTGAAAAATTATAGCCTTTAAATCTGCAGTTTGTTTCATTCTTCGTTACGTACACATTTTGAGGAATGTGGCGTCATCTGTACGATTAACGTCAGATACCAAATTGTTTATATCTTTGATAATGCCAAAACCGAGATTGTTATTTTTAGAATATAATTTGAGATAAAATTTTTGGCAGGTAAAGTCAATCAGACAGTAATGCTCATTTTTAATTGGTTAGTAGTTTGAATACAAAGAAAAGAATATAAAGACTTTGAAGACAAAGATTCTTTTATTGTTTGACACAACAAACGAACATTCTCATAACAAAACTTGTCTCATAGAGTTGCTCAATGAATGATACATTGATGAGAGTTGCTTGACATCTTATTGACATTCATTTTTAGATTTTGGTATAACAAAAACACTGATTTATTATTACAATTGCTTACAAACGTTGCTTTTATTATTACATCTATCATGAATAAATCCGTTAGTGATGCACCAAATAAAGAAGAAGAAACTTATCAACTTCTTGAACAACTCGATCATATACTAAAACGTCCTGAAACATATATCGGTTCAAACCGACCATGTCGTGAAGTAAAATTTCTATTTGTATGTATAACTTCTAAAATAATCATTAACTTTAGGAAATGTGGGTTGTGGACGAATCAGGTATAGAAGGTCCAAAAATTGTTAAAAAAGAAATAACTTATGTTCCTGGTCTCTACAAAATTTTCGATGAAATTCTCGGTAAAGAAAAATAACAATTTAGATTCTTTTCAAACTATAACATATATTTAGTTAATGCTGCCGATAATAAACAACGTGACAAAACAATGTCATCAATTGAAGTTGATATTAATCAGTATGTAAAAAAATGAGAAAAATTTCTTTTTTTTATCTTTTTATTTTCCACTGATAGAGAGAAAGGTGAAATAAAAATTTGTAATGATGGTCATGGTATTCCTGTTCGTAAATGGGCTCAAGATGAATCAATTTATATTCCAACATTAATATTCGGCAAACTTCTTACATCAGATAATTTTAATGATAATCAAAAACGAGTTACTGGTATGATATCTTGCACTTTATAAACGTTTTTTATTTTTTATTTTTCCTAGGTGGTCGAAATGGTTACGGTGCCAAAGTAACAAATATTTTTAGTAAAAAATTTACTATTGAAACATGTTCAAAAGAATTTAAAAAACTATTTAAACAAGTATGTTAACAATTTAAGCATAAAACTAAAAAAAAGAAAAGAATAAACTTTTATTTAGACTTGGACAAATAATATGCGTGATCCACAAGATGCAATAATAACCAAAGCTGAAAACTCCAAAGAATTTACTCGTATTACATTTATACCAGATTTAAAACGTTTTCAAATGGATAAACTAGATGATGATCATATTGCTTTATTTAAACGTCGTGCTTATGATGTTGCTGTATCAACTGGTTGTAAAGTAACACTTAATGGTACACGTATACCAGTTAAAACAATGAAAGATTATATGTTAATGTATATTGATACTGATGAAAAAGAAGTTGTATATAAAAAAGTGAATGATCGTTGGGAAATAGGTCTTGCTAAAAATGATCATACAAATGGTTTTACACAAGTTAGTTTTGTTAATTCAATTTTAACATCTGAAGGTGGTAAACATGTTGATTATATAACCGAACAAATATGTCCTAAACTTGCTGAACATATAAAAAAGAAAAGTAAAGCTGCTGGTGAAAATTTAAAACCAATGCAAGTTAAAAGTCATATATTTCTTTTTCTTAATTGTTTAATTGAAAATCCTGAATTTGAATCTCAAGCTAAAAAACAATTAGCAACAGAAAGAAAAAATTTTGGTTCAACATGTTTATTAAAAAATGATGGAAATTTTATTAAAGATATTATTAAAAAAACTGGTATTGTTGAATCAGTTATTAATTGGCTTGAACATCGACAAGATGCTAAATTACATAAACAAAGTGGTTCGAAAACATCTAAATTAAAAGGTATACCAAAATTAGATGATGCTAATGATGCTGGTACAAAAAATTCTATTAATTGTACTTTAATTGTAACTGAAGGAGATTCAGCTAAAGCACTTGCTGTTGCTGGTCTTGGTGTTATTGGTAAGACAAGAAAAAAAGAATGTTAATAGTTAAAAATATTTTCTTTTTTTTTTTTTTTTTTGAATAGGTCGTGATCGTTATGGTGTTTATCCATTAAAAGGTAAACTTTTAAATGTTCGTGAGGCAACAACAAAAAAAATGACTGAAAATAGTGAAATATCACAATTAGTAAAAATTCTTGGTTTAAATTATGGTGAAAAATATGTTGATAAAAGTGATTTATCGAAATTACGTTATGGAAAATTAATGATTATGGCTGATCAAGATCAAGATGGTAGTCATATTAAAGGTCTTGTCATTAATTTTATACATTATAAATGGCCGAATTTACTTAAACATGATTATATTGAAGTTTTTATTACGCCAATTCTTAAAGTAAGATATTGTCATCTAATAAGAATAATCAAGAAATTATTCGTATTCTATATGATTTTCTTTTCCGAAGAGGAAAATATCTAATTAGTTTTTGACAGGGCACGCATAAAGTGCGCGGTACAATACCACAAACTCTGAGAGAATCAATCTAACTTTCGGAGGAGACAGGCCACACATTACATAACATGCTGGTTAATTGTAAACTAGTGGACTGATTTATTCGATGAGCACATCAGATTTATAATTTCAAATAAAGTGAAATAATCCGTTGAATAGTATCATGAGTCTCTCAAGGTTTTACCAGAATCTAAAATGATTATATCTAGTTTGCATAGAAATATATTAAACGTTTATACTCATGGATTAATACTTAATATTGAAGGGATATAGACATTAATTACCTTTGAGCTATGTTGAATTAATTTCAGTTTTCTGTAGAAATAATTCCTTTTCAGGTATCAAAGGGTTCTGAAGTACTATCATTTTATTCGATGCCTGAATTCGAACAATGGCAAACATCAACACCAAATTGGCAAAAATGGAAATGCAAATACTATAAAGGTCTTTATTTTTTATTTTTATCATTAAAAAACATAATCGTTTTTAATAAAAACCAGGTTTGGGTACATCGACAGCTAAAGAAGCGAAAGAATATTTTTCTAATATGGAACGTCATCGTATTATATTTAAATATCAATCAATTAAAGATGATCTTGCTATACAATTGGCATTTAATAGTGCATTAAGTGATGATCGTAAAGATTGGATTAAATGGCATACAGAAGATATTAATCAACGACGTGAACAAAAGTTACCTATGGATTATTTATATCGCAAAGATACAAAACAAATCAATTTTAATGATTTTGTTAATAAAGAACTTGTTCTATTTTCAAAATCAAGTACAGAACGTGCCATTCCAAATATAATGGTAAATAAATAAATCTTAAGTTTTTGTTTTTCTTCAAAACAAAAAACATCAAATATTTATTTTTAGGATGGTCTTAAACCTGGTCAACGTAAAATAATGTTTGTTTGTTTTACAAAAAATTTAATACGTGAAATAAAAGTAGCACAATTAGGTGGTAAAGTTGCTGAAAATTCTGCTTATCATCATGGTGAACAATCGTTAACCAATACAATCGTTGGTCTAGCACAAAATTTTGTTGGTTCAAATAATATTAATTTTCTTGTACCAGCTGGTCAATTTGGTACACGTTTACATGGTGGTAATGATGCAGCTTCAGCCCGTTATATTTTTACTCGTCTTAGGTAATAGAAAAAAAGAATTTATATATATTGTTTATTGATAATTTGTGTTTCTAGTCCACTTGCTTTGTCATTATTTAATAAAAATGATGAACCATTATTAACATATTTAAATGAAGATGGAATGAGCATTGAACCTGAATGGTATTGTCCAATAATTCCAACTGTTCTTGTTAATGGTGGACATGGTGTTGGTACTGGTTATTCAACTGATATACCATCATATAATCCGTTAACACTAAGTAATAATATGAAATATTATATTCGACAAGAACGTGAACGACAACATCAATTAAATAATCCAACAAGTGAACCAAAAAAATATTCCGATGTTATTACATTAGTAGAATTAATACCATGGTTTAAAAATTTTACTGGTGAAATTAAATTATTAGATAATGATCGTACACGTGGTGTTATTAATGGTGTTTGTGCTAAACTTGATGAATCAACAATTGAAATAACCGATTTACCCGTTGGTACATGGACACAACAATATAAAGAAAATGTTCTTGAAACTATGCTTCATCCGAAAAAGAATGATATTGCACCAAGTATTCTTGATTATAAAGGTTTGTTTGATTCATTCTCTAAACAAGACAATGTTTCTATGACTAGAGTCGTGCAGGATATACATAGCTTGTTCTACCCTTTATTTAACATCGCCAATGAGACGTCAAAGAAAATAAGATTTAACTATGAAAAATGATGCTTTGGAAGAGTTTGAAGGAGAACTGTTATGATAATTCTAATGAAAGTAATCGTTATATTAACACCAAGCTTTCATTTTCAAATAATGATATTCTGTTAAAATGGTGAAACAAACATTTTTCAATTTTTCCACAACTTTCTTCATTAGCAAACGCATTCATAATTGATAGTTGTGAATTTAAGGGGAAGACTGTGTGATGAAATTTCACAATATCATAGAGATTGAAAAGAATTTTGCTATGAATAACACGTTTAAGATTAGATAAGTATCGAATGATCTCTTATTTAGAATTCCTACAAATTCAGTCATATCGAAATGTGTTAACAGTTCCTTAGATCGAATTTCGAGAAAAAGAATACAATCATTAGATCCAAACATTATTGATGAGTAGAAATTTTCGACATATGTAATGTTGTTCTCGTTTGCTTTATGATTGAATGAAATTATATAAAAAACTAATACGAAAATTTTCATCTTTGCTTAATACTAAACAGGACAAGTTACTGATTGTGAAAATGGCGTATCGTCTAGTTTTCTATTTGTTAGTCACTGTCAGGATAGATTATTTCAATAATTCATATTTTGTTTTCTTTTTGTTTTTTTATTAGAATATCATACGGATACAACTGTTCGTTTCGTTGTAAAATTAAGTCATGAACAGTTTGCTAAATTTAATGAAGCTGGTCTTCATAAAAGTTTTCGTTTACAAGATACGTTTAAATTAACAAATATGGTACTTTTTGATCATAATGGTATTTTACGTCGTTATAAAACAGCTGAAGAAATTTCTGAAGAATTTTTTATGGTTCGTCTTCAAATGTATGTTAAACGAAAAGAATATATGGTTGGTACATTAAAATCACAATGCGAAAAATTAGATAATATAGCGAGATTTATTAAAGAAAAAATTGAAAATGCTATTAGTGTTGAAAATAAAAAAATTAGTGCTGTTATTGATATGCTTGTCGAACGTAAATATGCTCGAGATCCGGAAAAGGTTTGGCGTGAAGAAGCTAAAAAAAAAGTAAGTCAGAATTCTTATTTCTTTCATTGAATCTATTAAATATAAATTTTTTGTTCAGTTTGCTGTTGAACTTGCTACACATGCTGTTCATGAAGATACAGATCAATTAGCTGATTTACAACAAAAACAAGACGATGAAGAAGATGAAGCAATCGATGATGGGGATAATAATAAAAAGAAAAAACCTAAAACAACAACATCTAATCAAGTTGATACAACTTATTATGATTATTTAATAAATATGTCATTACGTAATTTAACAAAAGAACGTCGAGATGAAATTGTTAAAGACCAAAAAGAAAAACATGATAAACTTGATGCTTTAGAAAAGAAATCTCCTGAAGATTTATATGAAGATGATATTTTTAATTTTGAAACTGAATATCGAAAAGTATATTCAAATGTTTTTTTTGTTTTTGATTCATTTGTAGAACTTTAAAAAAAAACAAATAATTTTCTTACTTTTTAGGTACTTGAAAAAGAACGCGCTGATGAGATGTCTGAAGTTGCACATCCTACAACAAAGAAAGCAGGTGGTGATAATAAAGCTCGTAAACGACAAACAACAAAACCACAACGTGCTGAAACTAGACCAGCTCCACATGGTAAACGTATAACGCCAGTTATCGATCCAGCATTAGTTAAAAAAGTCAACGAAGAAATCCTTAAACGTACTAAAGTATGTTCTTTTCATATTTGATATTTCCATATTTATATTGAAGACAAAATTAGAATTTGACTAGAGATCAATTCATACAGTCACGTGTTTTACTAAAAAATAGAGCGAAATGAAAAGCAAAAGAGAAATTTTTAGTTATAGCGGTTGTATTGATAAGCAATGTAAATATCATTTTGCGCATTACCATACTTAGAATCGGTTCGGTTCAAAGTATGTGCGTTACACGATTCAACAATCGGTCGCACATGCGATCGTAAAGTCAAGCGCACTACAAAATAATGTTTATGTAAAAGAAGTGGGATTTTTTTGCGCTCGAAACAATGTCATTTTAAGAGCAGTGGTTGTAGAAATATGAATGGATAGACTAAAGTATTTTGACGTGTAAAGTGCTTATGAAAAAAAAAAAGAATATATTGTTGAGTGAAAATAGTTATTCTATTTGAATGGTATGAATTTATCTCTAGTTGACTCCTAATTTTATCTGGTGGAAAGTAGAATTTCAAGTTTGTGTCGAATATAATATATATATATGTATGAAATTTTTTTTATAGGAAGAAAAGACTGTTGAAGATAAAAAATCAATTATCGAATATCTTGTTAAAGAAGGCGTTACATCTGAAGAAATAACGAATATTATGCAAATGCGTTGCAGAGAAAAGAAGAAAATTGGTGGTGTTACAGGTTTAGTTTTTGAAATGAATATTTTGTTTCTTTTTTAATTTTAATATTGTTTCTTGTAGAAAAAAAATCCACTGAAACAAAAGACAAAAAATTAAATGGTACAATCGATGAAAACGATGAAAATAGCAATGTATCAATGATGTCAGTTGATGGTAATGATAATTCAGGTTTAGTTAAAGAAGAAGTAACACCAAAACGTAATGCACAACGTACAGCAAAAGAAAAAGTTACACAATATGGTGGAGATAATGACAATGAAGATGATGATAGTATTATACATGAAATGGAAATTGATGATAATGAATCAGATTATATGGGTAGTGATTCAGAAACTGAAAAGAAAATTAAAAAAGGTAGTACCAAACCAAAACAACCACGAAAACCTAAATCAGGTATTAATAAACATCATTTATTAAAGAACAAATATATTTTATTATGTTCTTTTTGATTGAAGCTACTGCTAATAATGCAACATCGCCAACTAAAAAGAAAGTACGTGATATTAAATTTTGATTGATATTCAATGAAATAAAGTTGTCCTCTTTTATAGACAGCCGCTAAAAGAAGTGCATCAGTTGTTCTTATGGATAATCAACAAGATGATGGTGAATCATCAGCAAAGAATAAAAAAACAGAAAAACCGAAAAAACCTCGAGTATGTTAAAGTTGTTGTTGAATTTATTAGAAAGTTTTTATTGAATTGTTTCAGGTTAAAAAAGAACCTGGTGCAACACCCAAGAAAGACACTGTTAAAAAAGAAGCAAAAAAAGTCGTTAAACGACCTAAATCAGATGTGAGTATACATATAAATAAATCAAGAAGAAAAATATTAACGTAATCTTTATATTAATTATAGGATAGCGATGAAGATGATATTCCGATCTTATCGAATACATCAACTCCGACTAAAAAAGTAAAACATAATCTTTATGTTTTCAAATTTTATAAATTTTAATAATCTCAACTTTTAGCCTCGTACACAACGTACTGCTGCTGCTAAAAAAAGTTATCATATTTCAGACGATGATGATGATGATGAAGATTATGTTTAAAAAAATTTCCTTCTACTTATATATATATATATATGTATGTCTATATATATGATATCCTAGATCGTTTATTTTTTGTTTCTATATGAGAAAAAAGAAATTGTTTATTCATTTGAACTTGTTATTTTTGTGTTGTGGCATTTATGTTTGCGCACATTAAATATTAGTTTTGTTGTTCTTACCTAGTTAAATATATGTATGTGTCCGTTTGTAATCCTATTTTCTTTTTTTTTTCGATGATTATGAAAACAAAATAAAAATGTGTTTTTTTTTGTCCATTGTATGAGAGTAGAACATATCAGTGAAGAGAGAAGAAAAAAAAACGAACAAAAAAAGAAAGATCAAATGAGAGACAAAAAGAAGGACAAGTTTCATTTTTTTGAACAAAGTCATATCGAGCACAAAAAAAAATAGAAATCAATCATACTCTTCTTCTTTTCTTTTCTTTCGAAACAAATATATCATCACACAGAAGATCGTTTGATATCGAGTCGATATGGAGTCAACTCGATATCTTGTCGAAAACGAGATAACATTGTTTGTAATCTCGTTTGAGATAAAACATTTTCAGAATCAGTAGTATTATTCACATTTGTTGCTTGTTCATATGATGGTTTTAATGAACTGATTGATGCGGATGTATGTATAGGAGGACGAGATATTGATGAGCAAGAAAAAGGTAGTGGCCAACCAATAACTGGAGAGTCATCTGTAGATGATTTACCTCCGAATGCTGATGTTGTTGTCATCGGTGGTAATTTTGTTGGCGTTTCTAAATGATAATCAGTATTGGACGGTTTGGCCATTGAAAAAGCTCGTCGAACTATAATTGAATCCAAACGTTGCATTGGCACAAGATGAGCTATTTTTCCAGGCATACGACGAACAGTAAATTTTTTACGTTCTTTCTTTTTACTTTTAAAACATGAAAAACAATGACATGGTTCTGATTCAGATGGTGTTAATTCAGTTGATAAATATTCAAATTGATCAGGAGATGGATAAGGAATGAGAGTACCTAGAATAAAATGTACGAAAGAAAAATATATTTCCTTATAAAGTATCTTTTGTTTTGTTATTAATTCTACCATTTGGACTAATTAAATCACTGTCAAATCGAAGTGAATTACGTGCAACTGCTGATTGAATTTCTTCACGACGTTCATCTTCAGTATTCATTGTTAAAAATCTTAGTACAAGTAAATTCATTGATGAGGCAACAACAGTTAAACCAAAAAGAATAAATGTCATTGATAGAACAACATAAAAAATATTGGTATTCAATGCTTCATTGGTTTGTAAAGCAACAAAATCACCAAAACCTAATATTAATAACAAGAAAGTTAATATTATTTTCGAGAAAAAAAGAATATACCGATAGTTGTTAATGTTATAAAGCAATAATAAACACAATCGAAATAATCCCATGATTCATAATGATGAAACATAGCGGCACCACCTGTAACAACTCCAACTGCTAATGCAGTACCAACAATAACAAGTTCAGTTTGTGTCGTTTCATAATGGCGTAATTTAATACATTTTTTTATTGTTTTTATACACCAACTAGCAAAATTATTTAGACGTTCACCGACAGATTGAAACATAACAAGACATAATGGAATACCAATAACGGCATAGAGCATACAAAATGATTTTCCCCATACTGAAATAAGAAAATTTTTTTTGATTAAAATAATTAAGAAAAAAAAACTAAATCATTGATATGTTTAACTTACTTGTAGTTGGACAAGAATGACCATAGCCTATAATAGAAAAAAAAGAGAGAAAATGAATGATGTCATTTGAACGAAAGATTTAAAATCTAATAATATATTTTATATTTTTCTGACTGTTTCTAATCCGAATAAGTATACTTATGCTTTTCAAGAGAGACTAGAAGCAAATCGTGTAATTTTTATTTTTAGTCGGATTTATGAATGACTATCGCATATGGAGAATCATTACTGCCAAAACAATTTCTAGTATTTCTGAGACTCATAACAAGTACAAATATGTTTTCTCGATAAAAAAAAAAACTTCACTTTGATGATGTTAATACAATTCAATGAAATCAATATTCTTATGTTCAACATATTGGAAGGAAAAAAAACTGATTTATATTTAATAAAATTATCTGGAATTTAGTTAGTTTTGAAAAAAAGATAAAAATGATAGATGATAATCTTTTTCTTTTTAATTTATAGATATAAGATATATTAAACTAATATCTATTTAAATTATTTTTATTTTTATTTTTATCATGATTTGTTTTTCAGAATTATGTTTACTAAAAACATCGTAAAAACAAAAGTATTCCATGTGACGATTGTACTCCCAAAGAAGCTGATATTTACTTCAGTAAATATTACATCAATGTTGTAATATTAATATATATATATATATATTTATTACTTCTATTGATTTTGTTTATTAAATTCTCAAATATTTGCTCTCCATTTAGTGGTCGTTATCATCCTTTTTTGATTGGCAGTTAAACAGTTGAATACAAGAAAAAACAGTAAACAGCTGTTAATTATCTAAGGACACGTTTGAATATAGACAGCGATAATAATAATAATAATAATAATAATAATTCAATAGACAGAAGAATGATTTCCGTCTCATCTTCAGACTATCACCTATATATGTATATATATATATATATTTATGCAGACATACGACATAACACTCTTTCATTGACGTCATTGGGAAGGCTACTATTCTATCACCATGATTTTGGCAATCATCTTTGTCTCTCTCTCTCTCTCTTTTATCAACGAGCAAATAGATTTGTGTGACAGGACGCACTCAACAAAGTCTAATGACTCGAATGCCATCAGCAGCAAAGGGATCTAGTCTCTGTTCTCGTCTACTCTCTGGCGGAAAAAAGAATGAGATTCGTGCACGCGTGCACAACGAAGATTAGCAAACATCGTTCAAGTTCCACCCACCCAAAATTTTCCCCTCCTTCTTTTTTGTCTTCCAAACTAAAAAAAATACCACAATCAATTGTAACTAGCAACTCACAGTAGGAGTGCATCAAAACAATTGGAAAAAAGCTCTATAGACGTCAAATAAGAATCGAGGTCGAACTCGATACATACTATAATCGATTTTTTTTGTTTTTCTAAAACAATGAATAAAAAAGAGAAAAAGAAAGAAAAACTATATGATGAGTTTTCTTTTCTCATAACAAACACATTCCTGACGTATGAATATGTAACTAAATTTTTAATCAGTAAAGAGAAAAATCTAATGAAATCGTGAGTTGCCTTAATTGGCACGCAATGAATGACTTTTCTTGTCACTTTTTCTTTAGTCTCATCGGAAATTCAGATAAATATGCGAAAAAACAACATCACAAAACAAAATCTGTATAAAAACAAAAAAAAAAAAGATTTTATATACTTAAATAATATTCATAACATAATATAATATAAGTATTATTTAATTTTTCTTACCGATAGTTGTAATGACAGTAAGCGAAAAATAGAATGCTCCAGGAAATTTCCATTGTGCACCGGCTTTATGCGGTTGATATTTAATAACAATGTCTTCAAGTTCAAGATATTCATTATGGGATATATTATATGAATGGAGCATGTTCGCTTCGGTCGTTTGATATTGTTTGCGCAGGAAATCCTCTGTATTTGATTCGAGCGCGTCGAATATGGCCGCACCAACCAGCAGATAGCTTAATAAAAGATAATATAATTTTATAAATTGTTATCTTTGTTATTTGATAAACATACCTGAACGTCGAAACAATGAGTGTTAAGGTACGAACGTTCTGCTTTTTCATACTCGCGTCATCAACGCACCGACTCGGCCAGCACTAAACTTCCGGCGAGACTGTGCATATGATATATTATATTATTTGTTGATCACCGGGCTAACTTGCTGTTATTTTTTTTAATATTTCTGCTGTTGTTCTACTCTATGTAATGATCACGATTAAAACCTAAAAATAGTCTTTTGTTATCGTTGTTGGGTGCGAATAAATAGATCAATGTCAACAATCGAGTTCAATAACGATGAGAATAAGTATGATGTACATCTGTTTGAGTTAATAGTATAGGATGGCGATCACAAACGGTGATGGTAGGCTTAGTGTTGTTGGAATGATCACAGAAAAGGAGAAGAAGAAACAACACACATTATATACGACAACAAGTTGCAGCAATACGAGTAGGAAATCAGCCTTGCAACTATAGCCAACGTCAATGAGATGCATTGACATGAGTTTCTATCGATAGAATCTGTAACGCATGAGAAAATGAGAAAGAAAGCTAAATGATATTCGACAGAAACTGCAGCGCTTTAACAATTTATATATCTATTATATGTATATATATATATTTATATGTGTATATGTGTATGAATGTTCAAAATATCAGTGACAGTAGTAGAAAAAAAGGCAGTCAAAATGAGACAGAGTAGAATAACGACCATTTGGGGAGGATGGAGGAAGAACGAAGGATCTGACACGCGTACACACATATGAAGCAAGGACGAGCAGTTGACTGTTTTATTTTTTTTTTGGAAATAGTGCCGAACCAGCCAGAAAAAGAAGCAACAATACGCAGAAACCTCCATCATTCTTTTTTTCTATTCTCCATCTCTTTCTCGTCTAGCTTTCTCCTTCTCTCATCTTTCCTTCGTGTCGTTTCCATCATTTCTTAGATAGGCAGCGCGCAGTAAGGAACAGAAGGATGATGATGATGATGACGACGACGACGACGACAACGATGAAGCCGTTGTCGATGACAAAAAGACGAAGCAACAGCAATGATGATTATGATGATGATGATGCAAAGAGCATCCCAAGCTATGCAAGAGCGATAGCACGTTGATTTGCAAAAGCGCGTATATAGAACCCGCTCGTTCTGCACGATAAGAAACAGAGGCGACGATGATGACTTTCAGATCACTTGGTTTTTTGTTCTATTTTATTGTGTCTTCTCTATGTTGTATGTATGTGTGCGCGTATGCAGTTAGTTTACCAACAACCGAACGCAAGCAAGCGGGGAAGCACATCGACAAACGCTTGCGGACATTCTAATTTATTCAATTCCCTTCCTATACTACATTACTATTGCTTATTCTTTCTGTCAAGCGAAGCACATACAAGCTGGTGAAGAACAAGACGAAAAAGATCTTCGTGCCAAATACAGAATTGCAATAAACCTCGATGTCAATAAAGCGGTGGGAATGAGAATGGATAGATAGTAGATAGATTGATGGATAGAGCTTCGAGCGGACGCTCATTCTCGCGTTAAACGATTTTCAAGAGAGGAAAAAACTTACATAGACGGTAGATACTTGAAGATCGTCTGCTAGTACACACAAGTTTTCTTTCTTCTTTTTCTTGAGTGTCGTAGTCTTCATATACTATAAGATGCAGCTGTTGCGATGCGATTTGATGTCATCTAAAGATTATTTTCCTTTTTTTCTTTTTATACACATTAAGAGCTTTTGAATAAATGGTGTCATTTTTATCCCATGTATACATTTATCAATATTTTTTTGGAATAGAAATAGTTTTTGCAAAATCAAACAATCTAACATTGCTTAATATTATTATTTGACAAATGAAAAAAATTACCTGCCAAATCCTATAGAACGTGCTTTGTCTCTATTATTGCACTTATGCGTATAACAATCAATTAGATTTTTTGTATATATGGTGTAAAACAAGTTTTGATTCCCTCAAGCTACATTCTTTTTCTCACGTGAGTCCATAATAGCAAACGCTAATATTCATAGTGTATGCACTACATGTTTGGATATATTATATGCTAGATTTTCTTTTCAGAAATATAAGTTATGTCAAAATCATTAAAAAAATGTTTCATGTATTTCTAGCATTTCTTTTTATGTTTGATTAATAACATTAGAGACAAGGTACTGGTTGGAGGAAGACTTACAAATCTAATTTCCTGGATAAAAATAGGAAAAAACCTTGCATCAATGCTGTCATATCTATTCTCTTTGTTTCTTGTCTATCAATCCATTGGATATAATGCATTGAAATTTTTGTTTGCCTTGTGATGTTTTTAATTGTCTATTAGTATAGTTTATTTCTTTTAATTTATAATATTTAAAACTCTATAGAAGTTAGTTTTATTTATTCGAAAACTGAATTGTAACTTGATTGAGAAAAATGTTAATTGTCTACCAATCAATTCATTTTGTCACTATAAAAAACGATCTCGTTGTTTATATAGTCTATTTATATATTTTCTTATTTCTACACCTTATCTATATACTAAAGCAAGAGAGATCTATGAATATCTTTTACCATGCAGACAATGATGTGTCTAATTAACAATAATGCAAGAGTGAATATATAGTAAAATAAAAGTTACTTATATTAAACCAATAATTGTACGGCTACAATTTTTCGTATGTTTGTTGATTTTAAGGATAATTCAAACGTTTTTGTGCTTTTGAGCATTATTGATATATTTTTAACAACAATATGTACAAATATGGAATTACAGCATATTCTAAATCAGGGCATAAAGTTCATATACTATCAATGTCAATTTATACTTGTATAAACTCATATGACAAAACATTATGACTTACAATAATCCAAACTTATATGACCCCTTACATACCTACGCCCATCATCAACTATTTCCTCTTATATTTAGAACAATTTATTAGGATGACAAACAATTGTTCGTTTTTTTATCTAAAATTACAAAATTTACCACTTGTCCTTACAGCCTACAATGTATAGTAATGCCTGTATGAGATAGTTGTCGCTCAGCAGTTTCTTTCTTTTTTTTATTGCTTATGTTGTCTTTTTCTTTCTTCAGCTGTCTCATTGAATCATCGATCTTCATTAGACATGTGGTCGACGAGAATACGATCAATGTTCGAGAGGAAGCAATATTTGATGGTGATCCAGATTCTCTCTATCTTCAATGATGATGAATGAGACAAATCATTACAAAGAATGATGACATTGTGTGTATCCCTTTATTTTCGTTGTTTAGCTTTCTACAATGGCAAGTTGCTTCAATTAAATATTTAATCTATATACCTAATCTCAAATATTTCCTATATGAAAAATTACGATTCTAATCCTATAGTAAAAACATACATTTATATAAAGAATAAAGTTAAACTATCATATATATAAAACTAATACATAACGTTAATAATTAAAATCATGCAATGATTACTAATATCGCGGTTTTGCAATATGCAAAACATCATTATATCAAAACCATACAACGAATGCATGATATAAACAAAACTTGAATGAATATAGTACGTTTTATTTTAGCGAAAGCTGAATAACAACCTGTACATTTGCATATGAGTTAAATTTAGCTAGGTGAAAACAATATTAGTATGTACAATCATTTTCGTTTTTCATTACTTGGTTATCGTTAATGATGAAGCGGTTGTCGGCCTTTCTTTATTTTTGTTTTTCTTCTATTTTCTTCTTGTTCCTTTACATGTTATTCTTCATTTGATGTTCGCTTTTTATTTTTATTCTATGCTGCCAAACGAGCGTTCTCTTTTTTCTCTACTTACCTTTAACTACGTTCTCGTAATATTTTCAGATGATAGCCAAACATCTACGCAGAATAAATAACCATGTGAATATAGAATGTATGAGACGTGCTGTGGGAATCTGACTTTTTTCTCTTCTTCCAATCTTCCTCTCACTCCTTCTCTTTTCTTCTTTTTTTGTCGTCGAATGTTTTTTAGCTACCACTCGTTATGATTGAGGAAAAAAGTTACTCATAGGAGGACTATTAAAAATATCATTTTTTTCTCGATTTATTTTGTCCTGTTATTTTTTGTGATATATATGAAGTAATTCTTATTATTACAATTTCCTTTTTATTTTTTGTTAATTGTTTTACTTTATTTTTCTAACAGATGGCTTTTGCCGAAAATCAATCACAATTTAATCGACGTTTACGAACGTGGCCTTTTCGAAGGCATCGAACAGTTCTTAACGGAAATACTGATGGCAGAATCGATCGCCAAATAAATTATGATTCAGAACTTGATTTAACACGACATGAGTCATTGCCATCAATCTTTATGACAGATTCATCGAAAACTATTGAAATTAGTGAACAAAGTATTTCTCAGGATTCTCCTTTGACATCAATGGATACAGGGTAAAATGAATAAAAATGTTCTCAAATTTTCTTGTAAACAAAACACGTTTCTTTAGTATTCATATTAACCAAAATTTGACATTTTCCGTTCTCTTATCTTTAGATTTGTTTCGTATTTCGTGAGCAAGAAAAAGAATAATCTAGTATGACATTACTCTTCATTGAGAATATCTATTGATTAAACAGCTTCGTATTAGAGATTATTTGTTGTCTAAGAAATTCTCAATTGTTATAGTCTTTTTTTTTTTTGAGCTTCAATAACACATCATCAAAGAGAATACTCACAAATAAAGCTGTTAATTTTTCTTTTTCTCTTTTCTAATAACCGGAAGAAAAAGAACACAGAGAATAACAAACGTTTCTTTATGTTGAAGACTTTGGATATCGAAACAATGTAAAACCACTTAACAAATGGTTGTTTTGTTTAATAGTGAATACCCAAGAGAAACATACGATCAATTACTACACCTTAGAATCTCTCATGAATACAATCTTTTTTTCAAACGTTTCTATATGTTATTGTGCATTCAATAGTCATCAAGAAAAGAAAAACTTTGTATTTAATTATTTCGAAGAGTTTTTAAATAAATTGATGAATTAATAGTTTTTTTTAATAATTAATTAGTCTTAAATACACACGATATTTTACTTGTTTCTTTTTACTATCGTAGACAAAAATGTAAGCGCATAAAAGAATGAATGAATTTATTCTATAATATACTTTTCTTAATTTCTAATTCTAGTAATGTAATAACAAGTTATGAAAGAAAATCTACTAATACTGACAAACATCTTGAATGTCCCATATGTTATAATGATATTCAACCGGATGAATTCAAACAAATGCCATGTTGTTCAACTGAACTTTGTTCACTATGTTTATTAACACATACAATAACAAATATTAATAATGGAATAGTGAAAATTGAATGTCCAACATGTTCACAAGAATTAAATTCTTCAACAATATTATATAATAGTGAATTACCAATAACAATACGTGAACGTTATCAACAAATATTAGCACAAGATTTATCTGAGAAACAAAATACATGTGTTAAATTATGTCCACATTGTAATTTTATAACTATATTAGATGAAAATAATCCATTAGTACGTGGAAAAAAAAATCCTCGTTCATTAGTGCAATGGATACGTTGTGAACAATGTGATCAAGAATGGTGTTGGTCATGTTATTCACCATCACATCCAGATGAAACATGTCGACAATTTAAAAAAATTCATACTGAACTTGATATATGGGCAAAAACACGTCGTACGGATAATAGAAATCAACGTAATGCACAGCGTTGTCCAAAATGTTCAATTTATATTGAAAAAATCGATGGTTGTGATCATATGATATGTACAAAATGTAATTCAAAATTTTGTTATCGTTGTGGTTCTAGAATGAGATTACCATTTTATATTGGACATGATGCTAAGTATTCAATATTTGGTTGTAAATATAAACTTTTACCGAAACGTCCATTATTACGTTGGTTCGTACGTGGTTCAGTATTTACTGGTGTACTTATTCTAACACCAGTTGTACTTGCTGCACTTATTGCTCTTCTTGCGATTGGAATTCCAACAATTCTTATTGTTGGTTGTTTAGCTTTACCTCTATATCCATGCCTTAAATGTAAAAAACAATTATAGACAATTTTGTTTTTTAATTAATTATTTAGTTGAAAAACAAAAGAAAGAAAAAAATACAAATCATTTAATTGTTTTGATGCTTTTATTTCTATTCAAGATTAATATAATTTTAATCTGTCTTTCATGAAAGTTATAAAATTCACATTCTTCTTATTTCTATCTTTTATTCTCTTTCTTTATGTTTTGCGCATTTCTGTGATCAGGGATCATGTGTTGTTTTGTACAATTCAAATAAATGTATATCGTATGTATTTCAAAATAATATTTTACAAGTTAACGAATACAGTGAATTTGAACGTACGTGTTATTTATTGTTTAATAAAATAAAATGAATAGGAAATTTCAAATTATTATGTTTTTTAATTTCAATCTATTTTATTGAATTGAAAGAATTCAAATTTTTTTAAAAATAACTTCGGCAAAACTGTTTAATCAATTGTTCAAATAAAATTCTTTTATAATTTTTGGTTTTATATTTTAAAGAAAAGAAACCGTTGTTTTTTTGCATGTGTCATTGAACGTGATACTTTGAAAAAATTACTATTGATATAAATCTCTCAGCAATGAGATTCTAGTGGTTTTTTGTTAAAAACATTTCAATAACTATTGGTCTTTACTTACTTTCCTTCTAGTATTGCGTTTTTTCTCCATGTGGTTTTGTGATTATTGAGAGTTTTGAAAATGAAAAAGTATGATTTACCACCAACAATGTTATCTATTACTAACATACCCATAAAATGCGTGTTAATTACTTTTTTTCTAGTACTCCGAACTAATTGTGAACAGAAATTATATGTTTTCATGAAGAACATAAGCTAACATGTTAGATAAATGAAATATTTATACCGAGATTTAAAGTAGTTAATCAACTTTTTAAAATTATTGTTTTAGAGAAGAAACTGTTTTACTGCACGAGAAAGTTGCATGTAGCATGGGACGGAAGTGTTATGTCTTTTGAAAAATATTGAGCTTTCAGAAATGATTTGTGATAAGGACATATGACTACCATCACGTGGGTTTCTATATACACAAGAGTCCTCATGTGCTTAGTTAATCATGACATTTGCTTAAATAGATTTTTATTTATCGCACCATTCAGACGAACAATCTGTTGAATGTTTACACCGTATATGTGTAAATAGAAGACAAACTACTATAATTAAATATCCATTAACCTCCGATATATGGTTTGTAAAGAAATAGGTGAAAAATATTTTTTTTTGAATCTGTGGTTTGTATAGTTGAATTTTATTTTAGAAATAATAATTTAATGGGATTGTTGAAAAATGTAATATGAACAATTAAAATAAATGTTCCTCTAAAATTGTAATCAAACTGATATAAAGATTGTTTTTTTTCCAAAGAATTGCAACTCTCGCAGATATATAAGAAATAGAACTATCTGAACATGGATCTGATTGTTCTCAAAACTAACTTAAAAGTGATAGTTTGTAAATGTTCCTTGTACCTTGTTGTGTTAATTAGACAGAGTGGCCAGTGACGGGTAATACTATAACATCTAATATTTCTTCAAATTGCATATATTGAGCACAGACATGTCATGATAAATTTGTTTGATTTTTATCGTTGAGATTGGAAAGTCTATGATCATTTTCAAAATCAATAATAAATATTGAGAAGTGACATGCATAGTACATTGAGTAAAGTTAAATATTGATGTATAGATCGATCCCGTCATGAAGCTTTTGCACGACATAAAACATCATTAAACTTAAAGAAAGATGAGTCATCATATTGATTATTCTTGTAACATTTCAACAAAAAACAATTTAAGTTAAATTTTCTGAATTTGAGTGTTCGATGTTTAATTGATTTTCATTTGTTTGATAAATTTTTAGTGTCATTCTACCGACTAATCATTTGTGTTGGACAGCAATGAACTAATATTCAATTGAAAATATGTTATTGTCTATTATTCTCTTATCTGTAAATGTCTCTAAGACGAAGACATTTCTGGTACATAGTATAGTTTCATCAAAATATTCGATATTGAATTATAAGTCTCAACCAATAGAATACATGGAAAAAGTCAAATATTTACGAATTATCATTTCAACAAAACTCAATTGAAATTTTTTACACACATATATCCGAAAAAATGATATTAAGGTAAGAAGACAAATTTTTCTGTTATGTTCTTTATCACAGGTTCTATGGCTTTTTTTTATCGAAAAACAAATGGAACAAATTGAATGGATTTTTTAAACCAGATCTTACGTTAGATCAGATTACTCATTGCATGGGTAGGATGATTATAAAACATTAATACTCAATCAAGAAAAATCTTTCTGTGACTATCTTATTTTTTCTATTGGCAAAATTTTCCATTGCATTTGAAGAAAGTAGAAGAAGCCTTGCATTATTGAAATACTTCGACAGCATATCTAATTACTACATCTCCAGATAAGACTTTGTATAAATCAATGAAATTTAGGAAAAACTACGCTTTTCCAAAGAGATTCTCTGCTAGAGCGCAACATACTAGGATGAATTGGTTAAAATTTAGTGACATTCAATGTAAGTAATATGAGTATTGTAAAAGTACAACCACATTACTCCATGTATTTACATACAAATATTTTCATTATACCATCATACATTTGTCTTAATTCGACTGTAAAAAAGAGAGGTGTATATCTATTATCTGTTTTACTCAGCCTTAGTACTCAAACTCTCGGTGCTCACAATATTCGATTTTCAATATCTATAATTTTTTTAAACTGCTATGGGTGTAGATATTATATTTGTTTGAATGTTTGATTGATATTGTTGCTTTATAACCTTTTTTTTTCTTTTCTCTTATTTTCTTGTCAATCTCAACACAGCATAATAAACTTTTAATATTAAAAAAGGAAAAATTAAAAGGGTTTATCAAATAAAATATAAACATGATTTTATCTGAACTCATTTACTGTAAGTCTTTTTTTATCAAATTATTTATTGATGATTTTACCAACATATAGGATTTCATGTACATACATTTAGGTATTGAACATGAATGTAACAATCTTTTTTTTTACTGTAGACTTTTTGGTTATGACAAATGATTTACAAACATTCTCAAGCATTGAAAGTTTTTTGGTTGAAAAATGAATAGCTGAAGATGATCATGGTGTATTCACAAAACGGAAACACTTTTTAGTGTTGTTCTCTCACGAAACACCGAAAATTAATAATTGTAAAAGAAAAAGCTATAAATGAAGATGATTTGAGGAGACTTTTTTTTTCCACATACATGTGTTTCAATTGATTTTTCAATCACTTAAAGTGCTTTTCAATGGTTCTTTCATTATAGTTTAAGTCATACTGATGGTGTCTTAAGACCAGACTATATCGAGCTGATTTGGCAAGAAAAACATGTTCATGACTTTAGTCATTTTTTTAAATAAATAATATCATTTTCGATAACCTGCTCATGTTTGCATACATGAGAACAAAGTTTTTATAAACCGCTATGAATAATTTGAAAGTAATATTTTTTGATAAATTTAAAATATGCTTCTCCCATGTGAAAGTTTTGCTTTTTAGTATGTTTTTCTACTGTAGTGATTACCTTATCTGTATCCATAAGAATTTTTATGTTTTTGGAAATACCATATATTCGATGTGGCAGAAGTTTTGCGACATTCTTTATTTTGCACGTAACTTTGTTCAAAAACATGAATAACAAGTTGATCGTTTTTTTCAAAATATGAGCCATTGAATGTTCTTCTCGGATCACAAGACCAAATCTTCATAGCTATTTTCGAAATTAAATAGGAAGCTAATACTTAACACATGTGTCATCCTATTATTTTCCCATGAGAAAAAATCAAATGGGCCCATTTTTAATCAGAGCACCCTTAAATAAAATGGACTGCTAGAGGCACTGTAAAACATCAAAATGTTCATCATTCCACTAACATTTCCTACAAGATTATTACTAATTTTTTCTCAATGTAGTTTCATCATCTTCAATTGAAGCCAAGTTCTCATTGCATTATTTTATTAGGCTTAATTATTTTGCAGTGTTTCTTTGCACAACCGAAGAAATTTAATTTATCAATTTATGGATCGAGCTTACTGTTTTTAGGAGATGTATTTTAGAGCAACACAGTAAAAAAAGATTGTATTTCATGACAAAGCACTAAAATCAATCGACATAGACGTTAGTTTTCACTTGTATTTGAGCTGAGAATGAGTAATAATCATCATTCTTTGAATGAGAGTAATATTAGATCTCTGATTGGTTCTTAACATAATAGCCAAAATAATCGAACAATAATTACGAAAATCAAAATTCAACAATTTTTAGCTTGTTCTTAGCGTTTCCTTGCAAGAAATAAAAAGAGGATACAGGTGTTCAGTGTTTTCAATCTATTCAAAATCCGAAAATATCTATAAAGATTTAATCTTGTGATCCGAGTAGAACATTCTATGACGTATCGTTGAAAGAAAAAGATCAATGCTTTACCATATTCTTTAACAGAGTTACATGCAAAAACAAAGAATGTTACAAAACTTTGCCACACTAGATTAAAAAAAATCATGAATTAATTTCAGTGACAGATACTTAGTTGGATCCCATAGACATGAAAAAGGATTCCTACAGATATGTACAAAAACGAATCGTTTGCATGTATCAATTATCCGTCAAGTACAGACCTCTAGCTTGATACATTTTTGGGAAAGCATTGAGTACATTTTGATTGGTTAATATATTTGTCTAGTTGCAGATCAACATGAAGAACAAAGGAGGATGTGACATATTCTCTACAGTAATACGACTTTTTGTATGTGAAGTACTATACCAAAGAATAGTCTTCGTTTTTAGAAAGATAAAAGTATTAATGAATCATCCGAATTATTTTAGAAGGTCCAAAAGAATTTATTATTTTATATTTTTTAGATGCGCTGATGGATGACGTCGTTGCAGTTTTATTCTTGCAATCCAGGTTTTTTGGTCATGGCAGTGGCTTTATTATTCAGCTGTTTTCTTGTTTGGTTAATGCTGAGCCGAGTATGTTTCTTGTTTTCATTTGCATTCTTTTTTAAATGTAAGCAGTAAAATTACAAGAATAAAATTTAACTTTTTTGATTGTGATTTATGTAAACAATTAATAAATAGAATTAAACTCAATATGAATAGTTTACGTATAATATGATTCTTAAACATATTTGTAATTAAAAATCTATCTAGTTATCTAGAGTTTAATCAATTGCATCTAGATATAAAATGAACTATGCTTGTATAATCATACATTGTTAGAAATAAAATTAATCAAAAGAAAATTTGATAAATAGTAGTTACAATCTTGAAACGTATATGAAATGTGAATGTTCATTATTTATTTCATTTAAAAAAATCATGAAAATTTCAAAAGATTAATAACTTTCATGGTATCAAAATATGTTCGAAAAGTTATCCAACAAGGTGAACATAAAAAGTTTTTTAACTTCTAAAAATCAGAGTCTGAATTGAATATTTCGTTAATAAGTCATTACGGTTATTGAAAAGAAATGCTTATAAAAGTATATTAAAATTAAAAGCTATACATTAATATGTGTTAATATCCTTTGTCAGTGAATATTAACATATAGATATAAATAAGTTTCGAATATTTTTAACCATTTGTTTTAATAATAAATCACCTATTTATGATCATATATAAAATTTTACTTATTTCCATTCATAAATTACAATTGAATTCATCTTAAATCGTTTGATTTTTAGGTATTATTTCTTTATTTATATATGAAGACAGAATTTATCGAATAAACGAGACGATTTTTAAGGGCATTTCAATGACAATTACTCATTTAAAAAAAAAGACTATATTAATAAATAATACATGAGAAATATTCGACATTGTTATTATAATATTTGTCAATAAGAGAGCTGTTTTTCTTTTATGTTGTTATGTTTGTTTTATTCTTAGGCGAATCCAGCAGTAATTGAGACAATCGATCCAAAAGGTTTAATTAAAAGTCGAGAAATTATTCAAGGTGGTGATGCAGGTGGTGTTTATGTACCAAAAAGAATTGGAAATGAAGATCCCAATTTGCATTATGGTGTAGTAATTGATTGTGGAAGTAGCGGATCAAGACTTTATATTTATATATGGCCAGAACATTCAGGAAGAGAAAATGAATTATTACAAATAAAACAATTACTTGATAAAGATGGAAAACCAGTTGTAAAGAAACTTGAACCAGGTTAGATTTATTTTTTTTTATTTTTGTTGTAAATCAATTTAATAATGCGGCTTTTTTTTCTATTAGGTCTTTCATCAATGGTAAAAACACCAGAAAATGCAACTGAATATTTAAAATCATTATTAGGTAAAATATTTTCTCTTAAAAATTTTGATTATTAGAAAATATTCTTTTAGATTTTGCTGCAGAAACTATTCCACCAGATAAACATCGTGATACTCCATGTAAGTTTAATTGGTACATTTCCTTCTTTTGTTCATTTTTTTGTTCTTAAGTATATATACTTGCAACAGCTGGTCTTCGTTTTCTGACGCCAAAGTATGAATAATTAAATATAATTTTTTGATTTATATTTATAGAATTTTTGTTTTAGTCAACAAAAAAAATTACTTGAAGATTTATTTAATGATATTGTTCGAGATTATCATTTTCTAATTGAAAAAACTCATATTCAAGTTATTCCTGGAAAATTAGAAGGTATTTATAGTTGGATAGCAATTAATTATGTACTTGGTCGTTTCCAAAGTAATAGTACCGAATCAAGTAAGACTCTTATAATTGAATATTCGAAGAATAATATTTTAATTTTGTTCATCTAATATTTAGTATCTGTAACTAATGGTCAAACAATATCTATCTCAAAAAAACGACCATCAACGGTTGGTATTCTTGATATGGGTGGTGCATCGGCTCAAATAGCTTGTAAGTTTTTCTATTTATTGATGAAAACAAACAAAAAGAATACAAAATATTAATATTTCTTCTTGCTCTTTTTATAGTCGAAGTTTCACCAGATGTAAGCTTGTCTTTTTTTGTCTATGGATGATTTTACACGACTGTTTATCAATTTCTTTTCAGACACCAGTCGAAGGTGAAGAAATAGCAGAATTTTCTTTAGGTTATGATGAAAATCAAAATGTATTTAAATATAAAATATATGTTACAACATTTCTTGGTTACGGTGCAAATAAAGCATTTGATAATTATATTGAACGAATCATTTCAATAGGTCTTAAGTAAGTTTAATTCAAATCGTATACACAGATATATTTATATAAAATAATATTTTAGTTCTTCAACATCAAATTCATCTCATATTCTAATTGATGATGCTGATTGTTTACCTCGTGGTTATTCAGCAAATTATACACGAAATAATAAAACGATAACAATAATTGGTGAAGGTGATTTTCATAATTGTTCAAAACATTTAGTAACATTACTTAATTTAAATGCAACATGTAAACGAAAACCATGTTCAGTTAATGGAGTTTATCAACCAAAAATTAATTATGAATCACAAGATTTCTATGGTTTTTCAGAATTTTGGTATACGATGGAAGGTTTGATAAAAAAAAAAAATGATTTTATTTAATTTTTTTTAATTTTATTTTAAAGATGTTTTAAAAATCGGTGGACCTTATGCACGTTTAGCTTTTCTCAATGCTTCAAATGTAAGTAAAAAAATAAAATATGAACAAAAAAAAATAATAAATGTTATTCATATTAGAATTATTGTAATTCAAAATGGGCAGATATTCGACACTGGTATGCAAATAAATCATTTCCAAAAGCTGATTTAAATCGCGTTCTGTAAGAGTTTTGTTTTTATTTATTTATTAGAAAAATAAAATAATTAATTGAACTCAATATTTAGATTACAATGTTTTAAATCTGCCTGGCTTTATGCATTCCTTCATGATGGTCTTAAATTTCCTGTTAATTATCAACGCTTGCGTTCAGCTTCATTGGTTAATAATAATGATGTTCAATGGACATTAGGTGCTATTCTTTATAAAACTCGTTTTCTTCCATTAAGGTTTATTAAATTTTTATTTTTATTATGAAAATTTATTTTTTTTAAATATTTTATAGAGCAATTAATCAAGTGAAAAGTACAATGCATTATCGACGAACACATACAGATTCAACAGCAATGATTATTTTAATATGTTCAATGTTATTAATATGTGTATTGATATTTTATCGAAAAACATTACGAGCTAAAATTCGATCATCTTTTTATCGTCGTAATGGTCTTTATTCATCACCATCAAGTAGTAATTTTAATCAACGTTATCAATTGTTAACATCAGTTGTTATTGATGATTCATCATCTTTTTCAAAAATATACACTAATGGAAAACCATTACAAATATCATCATCTTCATATAATGAACGATTAAGAAGTGTTTGAAAAAAAATATATTGCTGTGTTTTCTTTTTTTCTCCTATCTTATTCTTGTTAACCTTATTTTTTTCTTATTTATCTTCAATAGGTGAAACGATCATTTGTTTTTTTTTATACACAAAAAATATTAAATATTTTTCTTTATTAACTAATTAAAAGTGATTGAAAAATATAAATGCTTTTTGTATAATGAGCTTTTACAAATGGAATTAAGCGTTATTTTTTTTCATTTATTTTTATCAACTCTGTGAGAATAGAAGATAACAAATGAATGATTATCACTACCTCTGTGAAGTAGTTTCCATGTCAACATGTTCGATCTTATAGCAACAATCTATTAGACACAAGCAAATGTTGTACTATTCAGATTTTAATATAATTTAATTAATATATAATACTACAAAAAGAAATAGAGCAATTACTGTGGAATTAAAATGTGAAACACGATATAGCTGCTGTTGCTAAATTACATGGAGTTTGTTTTATTCTGTTTCTTGGCACACATTTCTTCATCTTCCTTTTACTTAATCCTCCAGAAATATAATAATAAAGTAGTTCATATATTGTAACGAACCATTATTAAAATATAGTCTGTAATCGTCCATTAATAACGCCTGTCACGGTCTATGGAGAAGGGCGTTACAAAGTTCTATCCTTTATACTTGAATATTCGTTTTATATCGTGTTTCACGAAACAAAATAATCTATAAATAGATATAAATTACAAATGAAATCTGTTGTAACAGTATCAGGTACTACTTTTTCTCTTCACCATGCATTTCCTATTAACACATATTGTCTAGTTGATGTTTTGTTATTTGTAAATTGTATCTAGATTCGTAATTTTGCTTTGCATGTAATGTTTTATAATTTTCATTGGTTAGCAATTGTTTCGTATTATACATCTCTGGTTATCATACAGGAAAATTCCTTTTCTCTCTCTCATTTAAATTGCTATATTAAGGTTGCGCAACGTATAATCCTAATCTTTAAGAAATATTCAGTTTACTCATTTTTGTTCATAAAATATTGATGTCAAACAGATATCACACATATCGTAAGTCTGAATACACGTAACTAAAGGATTCGAACTATTACTATTGAAACAAAATACAAAATATACTATTCCTAAACTGATATAAATCATATTACAACATTGACCATAATATCGAATATCACATTTTTTTAAATTTTGCTTCCTATGTTACTGCAATATTTAATTCAAATAAAAAAGTAAATTCAATAACGTATGATTTAAAATTAAAAAAAACTCATAATATAAATGATAGAAATGAATTAGTTACATTGAAGAATAATCTATTTCATTTTATATGACTTCTTAATTTCATAAAAAGATAACTTTATTCTCTTTAACAAATTTCCATTTGCAATACCAACAAAACTTCTATTAAATACATATATGTGTTTATATACGTATTTTTCTTTTCATTCTATAAAAAAAAACCGTCTTGAATAAAATTACTTCAGTGTAAAGACCATATAATAGCATATGTTGAATGTAAATATGCATCCACCCACATAAAATCTCTCGAATTTAGAATATGTTATTTCATGTGTAATGAGCAAACATTTATATGATTCATATATTGATTGTAGTGATTTTTGAAGAAACACTGAAAATTAGAAAAACACAGTTCTTTTTTTCGTTATTACACAAGGAAAAAGTTTTTTTTATTAAGAATACAAACATAAACTCCATCGAACAAGAAGCCGTTCAACTATCTTGGGGAATATTGAGCTAATGCTCTTCAAGGTCAAATACATTCATTATTGTTTTTTTTTCTTGTGTTTGAAGAGCTCTTCTCATTATGCAACATACAAGAGAAAATAATTTAATAAAGAATATTCTCGACACTTCTGGATCAGATGGTGTATTTTTTCTTTGTGTACGTTCCCTTCTCTTGCAAAAAAAAGAAAAAAAAACAATAAATGTTCTTGCATGACGGCTTATAGATATTTATACGTTTCGCCAATATCACAGTCACTCAAGTCATTATCAATCAATATATAAAATAAAATAAAATAAAATAAAAAAAGAACGATTGTACAAGCCACAAGTATAGATTGAACTCAATTGTCTTTTTTCTCTAGTTCAGGAAGAAAATATGAAAGTACAATGATAGACAAGATAGCATTATCGATGGATTTAGTCTTTCACTTCAACAATAAGTGGTGCTTCATACATTGAGTGTCGAATACCAAATGAATAGCCAGGCGCTTGTTGTTTGTGAAGCCAAACTTTTTCTGGTGAATATTTACCAGGTCCTGGTTTTTGAGTTGTATCACCTGGCATTTCATTTCGTGCTGTCATGCTATAGTGTGGTGGTTCTTGTTTGTATATGCCTGATTTTGTTACATTATAAGCACCTAAAAAAAAATATAAATATTTACTTTCGAGAAAAAGAAAAACTTTTCAAAACAAATAATCAATTACCGGGCCCTGGTGTTCGTTGTAAATCTTCGTCAAAACCACCTCGTCTGCTTCTTCCAGTCATCGTATATATTGGTGCTTGTTTCTTCATACTTTGTACTGTTTTACCAAGCATTCCGGGCAAAGCATAAGCATTTGGTGCTAGAAGAAAAATGTTGGCTTGTATCTAGCAACAATAAAATTTTAGAATCATACCAGGTGTATTATCAAGTGCATAGTATTTATGACGAGAACCAAATGTATATGCAGGTGGTGATTGAAATACGGTTTTCATCGGTCCTCTATCTTCAGGTTTGTAAGCACCAGGTCCTAATCGAGATCGTATGAAACTTGGGTCATTTTAATATTCTTCTTTTTGTCTGTTTTTTTTTCTCTTACCAGGGTTTAAATCTCCTTTAAGATCACCACGTCGAGCATAGAGTGAATAATGTGGTGTACCGTCTTTACCAGTTCGAAAGATTTTCGGATTTGGAAAGTAACATGGGCCAGGAGATGCATCATCTTTGTATTTACCATGTCTAAGACCGAATGAATATGATGGTTGTTTTGTGTGCACCGAACGTGGATCATGAAAATTATTTCCAACAAGACCCGGCAATAGATAAACCGGGCCTGGTGTCGAATGCATGGCCGAAATTGGGCCTCGTGGTTTTGTTAACGTGAATACCATCTTGCTGACTATGTCTAGAAGAAAATTTGCATAAAAAATATTAAAGGCGTCAGAGTCTGTCAATAGAAATGATTTATAATTGATGATTTAAAATACATACAAGTGAAGCTGTTTTTCACAAACTCTCTCTTTCTCTTTCTCTCTCACATACACACACACACATAAGTTATTCATGTAAATGCTTCTCACCTTTTGCCTCACTCCTGTTTCATTTGTTGCCAATGAGTAACAACAACAAACAGTGAGCTCCTTGGCGCCAGAAACAACAATCGGGTAATAGAAAAATGCTCTTATTTCTTTTTTCATATCTGAACTCGACAGAAATAAAAAGAAGGGAGAAAGAGGCAACGTTTTGAAGCAATCAATAGGGCACATGCATGTATCACTAGAGCTCTAATGCTTCCCGTTGTTTTGGTTGCTTTTTGTGTTGATGCATTGACGAAAATTTTTCTTACAAAACGTCAGGGGATCGATTGTGGTCTGCTGCTACTCCACTTTTGTTCGACGATGAAAAAAGAAAGAAGAGAAATTCTGCAGATGTTGTTATGGTTGTTGCTTATCTAACGCTTTCTTTTTTTCTTTCTTCTGTGTACGTGTAAAACGCAGTATTTGTGTAGTGCTCGACGTCACTAAAATAAACTGAAGTGGGCTATGAAAATGTTTTATTCAATTTACTTGAGATCTTCAACAATGCTGAATATCTTATCAACAAGTTTTTGTAAATTTCTACTCAGTTTTACAGTTGAAACACCTATGTAATAAATTCCACTAAATGAGAATTATATAAAATGTTTGCAAAGAATACAGCATCAACATGAATGTAAATATGTTTTTATAATCTATAATAGTAGATGCAAAGAGAACCACTTGGCAACGGCATATATATCATTATTGAAAATTCAAGTGATTAGAAAAAATATTCAATTTGTTCTTACAAGGTTGAAAGTCGTAACTTTGTCTAGGAGACTTTTATATTATTTATTCTAACACAGCCTTCTCCACGAAAAGCTTTCTTACATTCAAATATTTTTATTTCTTCAAGAAATAATTTATTACCTGTATTATGAGGATCTTGATCAGATATTCAAACAATTGATATCAAAATTATATATATATATATGACTACCCTGGTCTATGAAACTTGCTAACATCATTCACTTCAGATAGAGTTATGTCAACAATGTACTGAAATGATAAAAACTTTCATTTTATCTTCAGCTTTCAAAGTAACATTTATAAACACAACGATACGATGTTACTATATAAGTCAAGGACAGTGAGTCATTTAAAAAAGAAATTATATTTTATTTGGAGTCCTTAAAGCATTACAAATTTTTATTAGACAGAATCAATCTTAGTACAAAATTGTATCACTGTTTTTTCCATAAATAAATAAAAAGTATAGTGTCAACCGTTTCGTGATTTTTCATTAGCCAATGCTAATCGTCGAATATATGAAATACAGATAGCAGCATTCTCTTGAAGTACATCATCTTTTGAACCAACCATTTCCATTAATAACTAAATCAAAAAACGAAACAAAAGAAAATTTTTGAAAAGGTGTATTTTTATTCTATGAAGAAATAGATATACTCGAACAACACCAGCTTCATGCATTGTAACACAATTCATGGGATTTTTTGATAATTGATGTAATGCTTTAGCTGTTGATCGATGTACATTAGAATCAGATGACTTAAGATGTTTAACAAGTGGAGCTACAGCTTGATTTTCACCAAATGCTTGTCGATTGTTTCCCCATTTACAACATTCAGCTATCGCTTCAGCTAAATAACGACGAAGTATATCTTCATTCTATTACAATAGCAAAAAGTAAATTAATCAATGAATATTTAGATTAGAAAAACTTTTACTCGTGATGCT